AAATTTCAGCTTCAAAAACCGAAAATGGGACAGAGTATGGGACAGTATGATTTTTCAATTCTTTTCGAAATTATGACTACCAGTACCTCAATTTGGTTTCATATCATCATTAATTAACTGACTAATTGGTTTGTGGGCAAAAATTTCATCCAATCTGTCAATTGTGGGTTCACAAATTTTCAAATCTGAAAATGGGACAGAGTTTTGAAAATACAACTTTTCGTTTTGTTAAGATTTCTGCTGTGAGCTTCCTCCGACCCAAATCAAAATTCCAGCACCCCAATCGTGTCATTTGCTATCTATAGTTGACTGACTAATTGGTTGCGGGTCAGAAATTCGGTCAAAACTGTAAAATTTCGGCCCTGGAAATTTCAGCTTCAAAAACCGAAAATGGGACAGAGTATGGGACAGTATGATTTTTCAATTCTTTTCGAAATTATGACTACCAGTACCTCAATTTGGTTTCATATCATCATTAATTAACTGACTAATTGGTTTGTGGGCAAAAATTTCATCCAATCTGTCAATTGTGGGTTCACAAATTTTCAAATCTGAAAATGGGACAGAGTTTTGAAAATACAACTTTTCGTTTTGTTAAGATTTCTGCTGTGAGCTTCCTCCGACCCAAATCAAAATTCCAGCACCCCAATCGTGTCATTTGCTATCTATAGTTGACTGACTAATTGGTTGCGGGTCAGAAATTCGGTCAAAACTGTAAAATTTCGGCCCTGGAAATTTCAGCTTCAAAAACCGAAAATGGGACAGAGTATGGGACAGTATGATTTTTCAATTCTTTTCGAAATTATGACTACCAGTACCTCAATTTGGTTTCATATCATCATTAATTAACTGACTAATTGGTTTGTGGGCAAAAATTTCATCCAATCTGTCAATTGTGGGTTCACAAATTTTCAAATCTGAAAATGGGACAGAGTTTTGAAAATACAACTTTTCGTTTTGTTAAGATTTCTGCTGTGAGCTTCCTCCGACCCAAATCAAAATTCCAGCACCCCAATCGTGTCATTTGCTATCTATAGTTGACTGACTAATTGGTTGCGGGTCAGAAATTCGGTCAAAACTGTAAAATTTCGGCCCTGGAAATTTCAGCTTCAAAAACCGAAAATGGGACAGAGTATGGGACAGTATGATTTTTCAATTCTTTTCGAAATTATGACTACCAGTACCTCAATTTGGTTTCATATCATCATTAATTAACTGACTAATTGGTTTGTGGGCAAAAATTTCATCCAATCTGTCAATTGTGGGTTCACAAATTTTCAAATCTGAAAATGGGACAGAGTTTTGAAAATACAACTTTTCGTTTTGTTAAGATTTCTGCTGTGAGCTTCCTCCGACCCAAATCAAAATTCCAGCACCCCAATCGTGTCATTTGCTATCTATAGTTGACTGACTAATTGGTTGCGGGTCAGAAATTCGGTCAAAACTGTAAAATTTCGGCCCTGGAAATTTCAGCTTCAAAAACCGAAAATGGGACAGAGTATGGGACAGTATGATTTTTCAATTCTTTTCGAAATTATGACTACCAGTACCTCAATTTGGTTTCATATCATCATTAATTAACTGACTAATTGGTTTGTGGGCAAAAATTTCATCCAATCTGTCAATTGTGGGTTCACAAATTTTCAAATCTGAAAATGGGACAGAGTTTTGAAAATACAACTTTTCGTTTTGTTAAGATTTCTGCTGTGAGCTTCCTCCGACCCAAATCAAAATTCCAGCACCCCAATCGTGTCATTTGCTATCTATAGTTGACTGACTAATTGGTTGCGGGTCAGAAATTCGGTCAAAACTGTAAAATTTCGGCCCTGGAAATTTCAGCTTCAAAAACCGAAAATGGGACAGAGTATGGGACAGTATGATTTTTCAATTCTTTTCGAAATTATGACTACCAGTACCTCAATTTGGTTTCATATCATCATTAATTAACTGACTAATTGGTTTGTGGGCAAAAATTTCATCCAATCTGTCAATTGTGGGTTCACAAATTTTCAAATCTGAAAATGGGACAGAGTTTTGAAAATACAACTTTTCGTTTTGTTAAGATTTCTGCTGTGAGCTTCCTCCGACCCAAATCAAAATTCCAGCACCCCAATCGTGTCATTTGCTATCTATAGTTGACTGACTAATTGGTTGCGGGTCAGAAATTCGGTCAAAACTGTAAAATTTCGGCCCTGGAAATTTCAGCTTCAAAAACCGAAAATGGGACAGAGTATGGGACAGTATGATTTTTCAATTCTTTTCGAAATTATGACTACCAGTACCTCAATTTGGTTTCATATCATCATTAATTAACTGACTAATTGGTTTGTGGGCAAAAATTTCATCCAATCTGTCAATTGTGGGTTCACAAATTTTCAAATCTGAAAATGGGACAGAGTTTTGAAAATACAACTTTTCGTTTTGTTAAGATTTCTGCTGTGAGCTTCCTCCGACCCAAATCAAAATTCCAGCACCCCAATCGTGTCATTTGCTATCTATAGTTGACTGACTAATTGGTTGCGGGTCAGAAATTCGGTCAAAACTGTAAAATTTCGGCCCTGGAAATTTCAGCTTCAAAAACCGAAAATGGGACAGAGTATGGGACAGTATGATTTTTCAATTCTTTTCGAAATTATGACTACCAGTACCTCAATTTGGTTTCATATCATCATTAATTAACTGACTAATTGGTTTGTGGGCAAAAATTTCATCCAATCTGTCAATTGTGGGTTCACAAATTTTCAAATCTGAAAATGGGACAGAGTTTTGAAAATACAACTTTTCGTTTTGTTAAGATTTCTGCTGTGAGCTTCCTCCGACCCAAATCAAAATTCCAGCACCCCATACGTGTCATTTGCTATCTATAGTTGACTGACTAATTGGTTGCGGGTCAGAAATTCGGTCAAAACTGTAAAATTTCGGCCCTGGAAATTTCAGCTTCAAAAACCGAAAATGGGACAGAGTATGGGACAGTATGATTTTTCAATTCTTTTCGAAATTATGACTACCAGTACCTCAATTTGGTTTCATATCATCATTAATTAACTGACTAATTAGTTCGTGGGCAAAAATTTCATCCAATCTGTCAATTGTGGGTTCACAAATTTTCAAATCTGAAAATGGGACAGAGTTTTGAAAATACAACTTTTCGTTTTGTTAAGATTTCTGCTGTGAGCTTCCTCCGACCCAAATCAAAATTCCAGCACCCCAATCGTGTCATTTGCTATCTATAGTTGACTGACTAATTGGTTGCGGGTCAGAAATTCGGTCAAAACTGTAAAATTTCGGCCCTGGAAATTTCAGCTTCAAAAACCGAAAATGGGACAGAGTATGGGACAGTATGATTTTTCAATTCTTTTCGAAATTATGACTACCAGTACCTCAATTTGGTTTCATATCATCATTAATTAACTGACTAATTGGTTTGTGGGCAAAAATTTCATCCAATCTGTCAATTGTGGGTTCACAAATTTTCAAATCTGAAAATGGGACAGAGTTTTGAAAATACAACTTTTCGTTTTGTTAAGATTTCTGCTGTGAGCTTCCTCCTGACCCAAATCAAAATTCCAGCACCCCAATCGTGTCATTTGCTATCTATAGTTGACTGACTAATTGGTTGCGGGTCAGAAATTCGGTCAAAACTGTAAAATTTCGGCCCTGGAAATTTCAGCTTCAAAAACCGAAAATGGGACAGAGTATGGGACAGTATGATTTTTCAATTCTTTTCGAAATTATGACTACCAGTACCTCAATTTGGTTTCATATCATCATTAATTAACTGACTAATTGGTTTGTGGGCAAAAATTTCATCCAATCTGTCAATTGTGGGTTCACAAATTTTCAAATCTGAAAATGGGACAGAGTTTTGAAAATACAACTTTTCGTTTTGTTAAGATTTCTGCTGTGAGCTTCCTCCCACCCAAATCAAAATTCCAGCACCCCAATCGTGTCATTTGCTATCTATAGTTGACTGACTAATTGGTTGCGGGTCAGAAATTCGGTCAAAACTGTAAAATTTCGGCCCTGGAAATTTCAGCTTCAAAAACCGAAAATGGGACAGAGTATGGGACAGTATGATTTTTCAATTCTTTTCGAAATTATGACTACCAGTACCTCAATTTGGTTTCATATCATCATTAATTAACTGACTAATTGGTTTGTGGGCAAAAATTTCATCCAATCTGTCAATTGTGGGTTCACAAATTTTCAAATCTGAAAATGGGACAGAGTTTTGAAAATACAACTTTTCGTTTTGTTAAGATTTCTGCTGTGAGCTTCCTCCGACCCAAATCAAAATTCCAGCACCCCAATCGTGTCATTTGCTATCTATAGTTGACTGACTAATTGGTTGCGGGTCAGAAATTCGGTCAAAACTGTAAAATTTCGGCCCTGGAAATTTCAGCTTCAAAAACCGAAAATGGGACAGAGTATGGGACAGTATGATTTTTCAATTCTTTTCGAAATTATGACTACCAGTACCTCAATTTGGTTTCATATCATCATTAATTAACTGACTAATTGGTTTGTGGGCAAAAATTTCATCCAATCTGTCAATTGTGGGTTCACAAATTTTCAAATCTGAAAATGGGACAGAGTTTTGAAAATACAACTTTTCGTTTTGTTAAGATTTCTGCTGTGAGCTTCCTCCGACCCAAATCAAAATTCCAGCACCCCAATCGAAAAGGTGCCCCCTGTTGGCGCCCCCTCCCCTTTGGTGCCCCTCCCTAAAATTGAACAAATTAGGTGATTTCAGAGGATACACCGGTAAAATCTCTAAAAAAGTGTGTATCTAGAGCAAAATGCGCAGTTTTGCTAGTACTTTAGTTAAGTTTTCGAAATTGTCTCACATTCAAACGACGATTTGGCGCCCCCCTAAGACGGCGCCCCCTTGCACAGCGGGGTCAGCGGGGCCCTTCGTTACGCCACTGTGCAAAAGTATGAAATTGCTCAGTCAAAATACCTCAATCATTAAGTAGGGTTACAATTAAGAATGACTTACCAGGTCTGTATGTTGAAGAGCCACAGTCACATTAGACATGCACAGTGTAAGCTAAAGCATCACGCTCTGATTTGATTTTGTGTTCACTGCCGCACTCATCCAAAGTAGATTGTAGCTTCGCTTCACATCACCTAAAGTAGTTTGGACTAATAATAACGTGCTATATTATATCATGATGATATATACATATATATCTATCACATGGTTTGGTTAACTTATCACCTCAATTGAAAATAAAGTTTACCAACAAATATTCCATACAAAGGTTTCACAGGTACGATGGAGCTAAGGTTAGGAAAAGTATTGACTTTAAAACTGAAATCAAATCGTTTGTCATATGTAATTTGCCCATATTTGGACGTAATTTATTCTTCAACACTGTTCCATAAACACTGAAGCCTGAATTCCCCAAGTAAAAAGAAAGTATGTCAAAATATGGTCAAATTACATGTAGAAGGCTACAGAAATTTTTTTTAAAAATAAAAAAAAAACCCAAGTAGCTGAAAGTGGCTCTTGCTTGTGAATGGTGCATCAACTACCCGCCGAAGCGGTGGGTTGGGAGTCCCCCCTGGGATCATTTCGTCCGTAAAATTGTATACAACATAAAATAGTACAGTAAAATATCTACAAAATTTACATAAACCAATCTAGGAGACCTCAAAGCTCGTCTTCTGGGGGATGAGGTTGAAGGAAACGTCTTGCTATATAACATGTATCAAGGCTATCTGGCAGAGTGGCTAGAGCGTCCATCATTGGAGCAGAAGTTCCAGGGTTCGAACCCCTCAACCCTAATGTCATCCAGTCAAGGGATGTATCTAAGGATTCGTTGGGTCTGGCGAAATTACAAATCTGTGTAATTTTTCCTCGGTTGACTGGAATTATTGGAAAATCGTGAGTAGGTAGGCGTAGGGCAAAAAAAAGGTTTAAAAACCTTTTTATGGTACCCTGTTTTACATTGTAGTGCATTATTACGGTGCAATTTTAGTAATTAGTATTATACTATGTACAAAAACACTGCACAACTTTGAACTTTTAAAAGTATTTCGTGGAAATATGAAGACTTTTTTTTGAGCGCTCGATTTCCGTGATATCAGATATAGTGTAAATTTGTGAAAATATGCGCGGCGCGCCTTTAATTTTAGTTTCACTTTGAAATCATAATCAACCATCAACTGTACTGTCTATAATTGATAATGATGAACCTGGGTCGAATAGCGTCTGAAAAAATTAATAAATAAATCCAATTATTACATGGCAATCAAAAATTAAAATATCAAATGTAAATGCACGCAAAAATAAAAATAGTTCTAGTTAATTAAAGATTAATTTATTGCATTGCATTGAGTAGAAATCTTAATTAATTATTTTGTTATGCCAAAAAAATAATGAAAAATTTTCCATTTAATTGTTACTTTAAAAAAATCAATAGCAAAGTATTAATATATAATATTAATAAATAATGATGTATGCACGAATAGAGGTATCCATGATCACGCAGAGGAGACGCGCGCATAAAAATAAGTTGTGTTCAAATCACCTCGCGCTTGTTAACAAATTTTTTCGGCATTGGATAAACATTCGATAATTCTATCGTGTGAACTCATAGACAGATTGTAGCTTCATATTCTCAAATGAGCGGTAAGGCTATGTATTCCGGAAATTGCATCGTTATTTCCATTTGTTCCGTTTGATCATTGTTATCGCTTTTAACCCCATCTTTGGGAATTTATCTTACCCGGATGTGTGCTCATCGATGTATTAAACGTCGTGGCCAATTTTTGGTCAACGCTTGGAAACGGAGTTTGTTTTGAATCACTAATATTCATACAGCGGTCTTTTCCTATTTTTAACATTATATTGATATGTATTGTTATAATGGTTAAAAAATTTTGAATTTTGTTTTTCTAAAACGTTTCCCTCTAGAGTCTAGGCGTGAGATGTCCGTTACATGTCTAGTTTTCAAGTTTCGACAAAATAAATATATTGCACTTTTTGAATTAATTTCATCTTTGTTTGTGATGAATATGTTTTGTGTTTTACATTCAACTTTCGACCAGTACCCTGATCAAACATATAAGACATCTTATAACAAGAGGATCACTTCTCCTTCGTAGTGTCAATAAGATTAGCTTTTTGCCTCCGCATACTTGCATTGCTGCTTTTCAGGTTTACAATTTTAGATGAAAACTGTTTTATTGCGTGGTTTATGCTAGGTATAAGACTATAATGCCCGATAATGTGTTGTTTACTTCATGATTCTCAATTGTTAATACTCATTATGTATTGACCTTAAATATCGTTAAAGGCCCTGTATGTTCCAGGATTCATCTCTTCATTTGTTTGTCTTAGCAATTGTCTGTCTTATTTACTTCATTACAACTATGAACTGTAAAAGAGCTGTAAACTGTATATTTGTACCAGATATGACGGTGAAACCTTCTACAGTAAGTTTTTTCTACAACTCTTGTCCAACAAAAATCACCTGAGCATTTATGATCTAGGGAGTGTTTAGCAAGTTCAGGTTCAAATCACATATTGCAGCAGAGTTTTTACTCCTCTAGCTCTTCATCCCATGATTGAAATGATGCAAGTTCTGACGAAAGTCATTACATCACTGTTAATTAATTAGCATCAGCATAACGGCCACTTTCCTTCATCCCCCATGATGCTGACGTTATATCTGAACCCTCCCTCATAGAAACCGTTTGTCGACCTTTGTCCTTTTGCCTTGTGCGAGAACATATTTGTTTGGTAGAATATTGGTACAATAGTGCAAGTGTACAGCATTGGACCATTCTCTGTCACGTGTTTGATACTAGAACATACATTACGTAGTGTGAAATATCTGTTATAATTACAAATTATATCTAGTGAGTCACATACCCGGCAATCTGGCGACTAGTTGCAGTTCAGGTACACGTACTCAAGTTCGACACGCACTCTAGTCTGACACGTACTCAGTCGAACTAAAGTGCGCTACCTGGACTCAAGGTCGACAAGAGAACTTCGACTGTCAAACTAGAGTTTTGAAATCTCCGATCTCAAGCAACGATCCTTTACGAGCTTGTAATATATTCGTTTGTTTGTTTTCCACTTGTCTCATGCTGTTCAATTATGTGTGAATGTAATATCTGTAATCCATATTTATGAACATTTAATTGACCTCGGACTCAATTGTTAGTAAGCAGAATTGTAGACTTAGCGGAGAGATAAAAGACTATCGTGGTAACTCGTACTCCGTTTTACAGATCTACATTTTAGAGTACGCTTTATAAATATCTACCACATACCACACTCAATATTATCACAAACGACTAGTAACCGAGTACCGGTCCAGAGGTTTGGCTGCTGAACCGGAAACAGTCGGATATCAATCTATTTTCCTGTTAGCTAGACCAGAATCGAGTGGCAAACATGAGAAATTCGCCAGGGGTGATATCTGGCGAACTATAGTACGTGTCGAACTATAGTACGTGTCGAACTAGAGTACGTGTCGAACTATAGTACGTGTCGAACTAGAGTACGTGTCGAACTATAGTACGTGTCGAACTAGAGTACGTGTCGAACTAGAGTACGTGTCGAACTATAGTACTTGTCGAACTATAGTACGTGTCGAACTATAGTACGTGTCGAACTATAGTACGTGTCGAACTAGAGTACGTGGATCTGCAGTTCATTTCCAGTTTGCTCCAGATGTTTCTGGAACATAAGACAAGACGGGGAAAAGACTCTACTCCTGTTTTACAATTCGTGTTAACAATTGCTGCCCGGTCTGCCATAATTTTATCGTGCTTATAATTTGCTTTGTCTTATTTAGAGCGCTTTGTCTTTCTTATTATGAGCGGATCATGGGGCCGGTTTTCAACTGTCTTCAGAGTCATCTCATATGAAGCAAGCTAACCGGAAGCAAGCTAACCGGAAGCAAGCTAACCGGAAGCAAGCTAACCGGAAGCAAGCTAACCGGAAGCAAGCTAACCGGCTGGTGTGTACTGTGTTGACTGAACAGTTTGGAAAATGGTTGAGATAGTGGTCCAATATAGCCATACACCACCCTGTAAACTGATAAATATTATGTTTAAAGTGTAGTTACAAAAATCTGTTTCTTGACATTAAAATGACTGACGAGAGCAGCTCTGATAATAAACTAACTAAAATCTCAGTATGACAAGTTTGAGTAATCAGCCCGAGTTGCCTCTGAGGATAGCAGTGTTATTTTTAGCTGGCGTCGTGTTCTCTCTCCTGTTCTCCACCTTATTGATTCAAAGAGAGGTGAGATCAACTTTATCAAATTTATTTAGTGTTTAATGGTGGACTTGTCAATTACTTTGGACAGCTTTTAGACCAAAGAATGTGTCTCAGATGCATTTCAGTGTGAATATTTCGAATATTTATTAGGTCATGGGTGAATCATCATTCGATTCGCTCTACTTACGTCTAGCTATTTCAACGTGTAAGCTGTCGGCCAATGTTTAAACATTTAAAAACTTTCCGCTTTAATAATTTGGTTTTCCCAGAAAGATAAAATCCGTTATCAACCTGCACCAGAATAACTTCCCCTCACACCCTCTCCTAACCCTCACACCCTCTCCTAACCCTCACACCCTCTCCTAACCCTCACACCCTCTCCTAACCCTCACACCCTCTCCTAACCCTCACACCCTCTCCTAACCCTCACACCCTCTCCTAACCCTCACACCCTCTCCTAACCCTCACACCCTCTCCTAACCCTCACACCCTCTCCTAACCCTCACACCCTCTCCTAACCCTCACACCCTCTCCTAACCCTCACACCCTCTCCTAACCCTCACACCCTCTCCTAACCCTCACACCCCCTCCTAACCCTCACACCCTCTCCTAACCCTCACACCCTCTCCTAACCCTCACACCCTCTCCTAACCCTCACACCCTCTCCTAACCCTCACACCCTCTCCTAACCCTCACACCCTCACACCCTCTCCTAACCCTCACACCCTCACACCCTCTCCTAACCCTCACACCCTCTCCTAACCCTCACACCCTCACACCCTCTCCTAACCCTCACACCCTCTCCTAACCCTCACACCCTCTCCTAACCCTCACACCCTCTCCTAACCCTCACACCCTCTCCTAACCCTCACACCCTCTCCTAACCCTCACACCCTCTACTTCCCCTCACACCCTCTCCTAACCCTCACACCCTCTCCTAACCCTCACACCCTCTCCTAACCCTCACACCCTCTCCTAACCCTCACACCCTCTCCTAACCCTCACACCCTCTCCTAACCCTCACACCCTCTCCTAACCCTCACACCCCCTCCTAACCCTCACACCCCCTCCTAACCCTCACACCCTCTCCTAACCCTCACACCCTCTCCTAACCCTCACACCCCCTCCTAACCCTCACACCCTCTCCTAACCCTCACACCCTCTCCTAACCCTCACACCCTCTCCTAACCCTCACACCCTCTCCTAACCCTCACACCCTCTCCTAACCCTCACACCCTCACACCCTCTCCTAACCCTCACACCCTCACACCCTCTCCTAACCCTCACACCCTCTCCTAACCCTCACACCCTCACACCCTCTCCTAACCCTCACACCCTCTCCTAACCCTCACACCCTCTCCTAACCCTCACACCCTCTCCTAACCCTCACACCCTCTCCTAACCCTCACACCCTCTCCTAACCCTCACACCCTCTACTTCCCCTCACACCCTCTCCTAACCCTCACACCCTCTCCTAACCCTCACACCCTCTCCTAACCCTCACACCCTCTCCTAACCCTCACACCCTCTCCTAACCAGGTGACGTCACTACCAACAGAGCTGCTGAACGACATGGTGTCCTCTGCGTGGTGGGTTCCCATAGCTGCAGGGATACTGTCTCTCTGTGTCGGCATGCTCTACCCCACCGTTAGTAAACATTTCTTCTACTTTTATCGTTTTTAAATCATTTGTTGGATTTTGCAGTAATTATGTTATTCTGCAGAAGGTGCTCATCTTGTCAGAAATCATAAAAATTAGCATACAAATAATTTATGGGTTTAGGTTACAAATGTACAAATTAAGCTCCACCCTTTGGTCTTTTCCTCTCAAACATCAGAATTCAGTCTTGAAGTAACCCCCTATTTAGAGTATATTTGTATAAATGTAAATCAAGTCCAAGAACACTGAACAGCCGCTGCATATTTTGGTAAAGTTATGCACACCATCAGTAAATTCGTCTTACTCTGCGCCCTTCATGTCCCATTTCTTTGATTTTCCACTCTCTAATTTATTGAGAAAGTCCTCATAGTCCCTCACTGCACTGATTATCTTCTGAGACTTAAGACAGCAAGTAAATCCTTTCTGGTCCCCGTAATAAGCGCACCAATCCACCTCTGGGTGGTCAGCGAGTGAGCGCTGCGCAGCGCACCAATCCACCTCTGGGTGGTCAGCGAGTGAGCGCTGCGCAGCGCACCAATCCACCTCTGGGTGGTCAGCGAGTGAGCGCTGCGCAGCACACCAATCCACCTCTGGGTGGTCAGCGAGTGAGCGCTGCGCAGCGCTGATCTCCAGTTTGGAGTGGTGCTCCTCAACAGCTGTAGTGATAGAACAGGGTAGAGTTGTTAAAGAATGAGGGTGAGGAGGTGAGATGTGCAGGAGGTGGATGTTATTCAGAAGCTCTGCTGAGTGGTCCTCTACATGATACGCATGGGAGTTGTAGCTGAAATCTGTCATTATGTTAGTCGTTGTGTCTGGAAACCGTTGCTCGTACAGTTCTACCTGCAATTTGTAACTGTCATGTTTTATATCAATATTTCTCAAATTTCCATGTTCATTCATCTGGTTACTAGTAGGCAGTAGCAGTAGAGAGGCTATCTGGTTACTAGTAGGCAGTAGCAGTAGAGAGGCTATCACTAGATTATTTGACATAAATAGTTCTCAACTTTGCTGAAAAAGCTATATTTTGTCACCTTGTGTTGCAGTTCGGCTATGTTTTTACCTTGTGTTGTAGTTTGGCTAGGTTTTTATTGAGTCTTCTGTTATCACTCCTCATTAATCCAGCTAATTGTTTACAATAACGTTCCTGCTTTCCCAACTTCCTCTCCAATCTCACCACTCTCTCTTGAAGTACAGCTTGCCTACCAGCGAGTAGATTGTACTCTGCCTGCATGTCTGTCTGTAGTGTGCTATCATGTGGTGTTGGGGCGGATCTATCTGCTAACTCCTCTAAACTGAAGATACGACGGTTGCTGTCAACTTTATAAGAAGGCTGAGTTACCATCACTCTAGGCCGGGTACTGGGTGTAGCTGTGTTGCTAATGTTGGGGTTCGTCTCACACTCGGAGGGGTGTCTCGAGCGTTTGAGTCGTGAGGATTTACGTCTAAACAAACTACTCATCGTGCAACAAAGGAAAACAGGACGAGTGTCGTTAGCCATGGTCTAAATTAGTACTTGCTGGCTGTGTTGCTACTGCTAATTGATCACTCGTATTGTATCTTTATATTCCATCATTTTACCTAATTACTTCCTTGTTGCAATCAACTGGTGTAACTGTGAGGTGTACTGAATATTTGGGGTAGTTAGAAAATCTAAATTAAACCAATTGAGTGGTTAGGACGTAGCACTTAGGACGAAGTCGTGTACGTTAAATAAGACACTTGATCACTGATCAGCAGCTAATATAGACTGCTTGCGAAATCCGAAGTTTAATAGAAATGTATGTTGTGAATGTAGCGAAGTTTCGCGAAGGAAAGAATATAATACTTTACATAATATATATTTTGTAAATATGTACATGTAAAGCCAATTAAATCAACAATACTGTAAACCTGAAGTAGTACTTTTAACACTCAATATTTCAACACAACAAGCAAATGTTAAACACCAATGTAAATACATTCCTATTTAAAATCCTAACATTCCACATTCGCTTCAGGTTGACAGTATTTACGGTACAAAACCAGTGTTACAGTGTGATTGGTCCAATCTCATTCGCTGCTCCATCATTTTCTTCGGCATAAACCACGCCTGCATGGTATGTAGCAGTTACATACCCTAACATTGCAACATGTTTGTTTGTTACACTTTAACCTCTTCCTAATTGGCCATCTGCCAACACTTCTTCATTTTCAAACAAACCACGCAAAATATCATATATAAACTGTACAGTGTACACTGGAAATGAGTACTGCAGTGCACTGGCACTTCAACTTAAATGAAGTTGAAAAATAACAACTGAATATTTTTAGAAACTGGACTACATGAACAGCATGCAGCTATCAGTAACACTTGGGGTCCTGTCTATAACGATGTGGTGGTTGTTCGACAGGACAGTGTCCGGCCTGGTTGTGGGTCTCGTCTCCACCATCGTCTTCATATCTGTATCCCAGTTCTTTGTCTATCACGGTTTTGCCAGGTATGTGCTTAATTGCTTACATCTTTCATCTTTATATAACATTTTTATTAAATAAAAATTCTAAAAACAATGCCCAAGTCTATTTGTTCCCTAAAACAAATAACTGAATGTCAAAGTTTCTGTAGTTTCTGCCAATATCTTTTGTCATATAAGGTCATTTCATTTCATTTCATTTCATTTCATAAATATGATAAATTACTAGTGTAACCCGTGCCTTCGGCCGGGACTTCACTATCGCAGTTGAATTGGAAAAATTATAAAAGGTGCGAAAGCTTGAACTCGCCCAGTCGAAACCAGCATTATAGTCAATTTAATTCTGAGCGCCCAACGGCCAACACGGATCCAATAGTAATACGTAAACTAGGCAATCTTGCGTCCTCTGGCTCTACTGCCAAATTACCTAATTATATGCCAGAGCTGTAATTAGGGGAGCTGTAAATGGCGAGAGATAGTGCGAGAGAGAGAGTGTGAGAAAAAGTGAGACACTTAAGTACCACATTTGGGGTACAAAACCATCAATTAAACCACTTACTGCCGGCCGATTTAGAAAAGCTTTGCTTTCAACTTCGTCAGAGTTTTGTATAAACTATACCGAAAAAACCAGTCCCATAACTCTTACCGTTTTCTTGATAAAGCCACTCGAAATTACCAACGACCACACACATTTTGGGATTATTAGTATAGTTAGCTGAAATATCATAATTTTGTATTATTATTAAACGATGGACATTTTGTAAGGAAGCAAACTATAAAGATTTGTTAGCCATCTCTTCAGAAACATCGCAAATCTTTTTTTGTGCAACTTTAACTTTATCCTTATTCCTTAGTCACATTTTAGTTGACTTTTGGCTCGTGTCCACAAAAACCGGATAGTTATCTCGTTTCTGGTAAATAAAGACTTAACCCTTAATAAAGACCCTTTATTTTAATAAACTAAGTGGCGCCTTCAGAAACACCCTGTAAACATTGCATCTGACATACTTATTACTGATAATATAGTGTTTTAATTGCCGAGAGCAGATATAATATAGAGATGAACCCAAATATTCACATGTTTACGGGTGCATTAAACTAAAATAGTTTACACTTAGTTTAACTTCTAATAGTTTTGATTTTTGAGATAATATCCGGTAGTAGAGACTAGGTAGGACAGGTGAAACTACTGTTTAGAAGTTTAAACTACTGTTTACTACTGTTTAGCGTTTCCTCCTAAATAGTAGTTTCACTTGTCCTACCTAGTCTCTACCGGATATTATCTCAAAAATCATTATCTTATCATGAGACTGATAAACAGCGAACCTCTCCAAAATCTTATATTTCTAATAGGGGGGGGGGGGGGGGGGGGGGTATAAGCTCTAGACAGTCTACTGTTGTGATGTATTTCCGGTTAAGTGAGTATTGTAGAAATGTCAGGAGACGTACGTGCTTATACGATGTAGAATACTGAGTAGTTTACTGATGAGAGCGATTACTTGTAGCTACGAGCTATTTATAGAACTAATCTGCAGTCAGTGTAACTTGTAAACGCTAGTATTCTATTCCAATGATGAAAACATTGTGCAAGATTTTCAGAAGGTTTTCACGAAAGTTATCACTTATCTGACTCTTTTTGAGAAGAATCCTCTTAAAAGAGTATTTGCAAATTTGTATTTAAAGATCAGATCACAAGTTACAGTCTACTTTTGGCCAGATCATCAGCCCCAGCTTATTAAACCAAGGTTACAGTTTGGATTAGGATTAGGTTTAGGTGTAAGCAAAAGTGTTGGTGTAAGCAAAAGTGTTGGTGTAAGGCTTAATGCTTATAGGCTATAATCTAATTTTAGAATCTCGAGTGAGGAATGCAGAAGCTGTCAGCTGTGGGATAAAATGTGGGAAATTGGGAAATTCTTTACCTGCACCCTTTAATCTGCCCACTAAATAGTGTCATTTTGGGTGGGCCGTGGGATCATTCTTAACACTATATAAATCACAAATAAGATAAATTACACATAACAATTACACGGATTAAATAACACATTGATTAGATGAAATATAAATTTTATATAACAGATCGAATAGTAGTTCACATCTCCTATTTCAGTTATAAGGCACCAGATTTCTTCTTGCTGCGATCCTGGATCCCCTCCCTAATATTCAGCGCCGTCATAACGTTTGGTACTATCGGCCGACAGCTCTCCGCTTTCGTAAGTACTTTATACCCACTCGCTAAGAACATTAGTACATTATACATATCTGTTCGTGTTTACGAAAAGTACATTATGTTTTGTACAATAGCATTATGAAGTGTACAATAGTAGTATTAGCAGAGATATAAACATGTAATTTATTGTGCAGCCTGTAACCCGTCTTAGTGTGGTGACATCACACTGGGGTTACAGTTACCACCTACAACATTACTCCTGTAACAAATTTCGCATTCCTTTTTTATCACATATCTTTGAACAGCTCCTAAGTTCATACCACATATTTTAAATTTAAATTCCAAAGCACTGCTTATATTGGACCTATAAGATATCCCTCCTTTAAATATACACTGTGTATTATAACTTACATAACTCAATAATTGTGACAGGTGTTAAGTTTAATACTGGCTACAGCAGGTTTTTAGGGCCTGGTTATACACGTCACCTTACGTTGTGCAAATGTGCACGTCACCCCTCTAAATATTTCTGATTAGTTATAACTAGAATACATATATTCTTATATTACACATATTATTATTATATTATATTATTACATGTATATTACACATATTACGGGATATGACACGTACTGCATATTTATTATTTAAATGCTTTTAGTTATTTTTAGATGCATATTCACGTGTATTGCATTACATTTTACTTTCTCAAATATTTGCAATATTTCAGAGATTTACACACAGCCACGAAGATTGAACTCAGTTTCGAATGCTTAAGAAACAACGCAGAAACACTACACTAGATAGAATCATTCAGAGTTAAACAGATGAAATCATAAGCAGTCAACGTTAACAAGATCACAATATTATGTCATCCAGAATAATCATCGGCACGTTGAAGATCACGACGGGTTGTGATAGGAAGTGTGACAGAGGTTTGAAATTAGATAACATTTACGGAACCTTTCCATTTCTATTGAATTAGAACTGTGTAGCTTTTCGGATTCGGATCATTTTATACGATATATCGAATTTTACATTCTTATTGGGCATGTTGTCCGGAAATTTGTTTTTAATAAAACGAAAATATTTTTATTTTTGCTCTGGGCCGATCTTTTTATTCAAGGTAACCGTGCTAAGTCTTATATATTAATTAATAATATCAATAATAATATCAATATATATAATATATCTTCTTTTCTTATTAATATAGGTTAAGTTTAATATTACTTTAAAATTTAAGTTGAATACAGTATGTTCTACTTTCTATGCAGTCCCTGGGTTAAAAGTGCAGTATTAAATAATACCATTTATGTTGGTTATCAATTTTAGTTATGAAATTTAGTTATTAGTTTGAGTTATCAATCCCTGATAGCCATGGTAACCTTATAAATAATAAGTTCTGTTTTATTAATCCTCATAATCATGATAATAATGATAGTGGTAAATGTAAGTTTTGGTTATAATAGTTCAATTCTACATGGTGTCCACAAGCATTTCATGTTCTCAGGAATTCTCTTCAGAAATTCATAGTTAACAATAACATAGTCTTTAGATTTCATGATATTAGGTGCAAAGATTGTTATGTTTGGAAAGTGACCGCTTTATTATTGTATGGTATCATCATATTCATCAAGGTAGAATTTATGATTATAATGTATGATAAATATCACTGTTCTTTGGTTTAATAATTCCAAAACTAAAGCATGCATCTCATCTTATTGTTGATTATTTCTTTAAATATCTTCCATAGAGGGGTTTACATTTGAATTATTTGACAGTGACTCACTTCACAGACATGAGTCTGTGTGCATGAAGCATTTTTAGGAGTACACTGAATATTTTAATCTTATTTGAAAATTGTTACTGTATATTAATTTATTTTTGATGTACTTGAATTAAGTCTATTTTCTGTGCAGTTTACATTGATTTCGGCACGTTCAAGGACTGGAGGTGAAATTTAAAATTATCCTCAAGGTTATCAGATTATCAGGTTATCCGACGGTAATTTCCGTTTAGGGGACGTTTTCCAAGAAATAAGTGTGCTCGGTTGTTCTGGTTCCCTGCCACGTGAAAACTTTTAACATTTTAATTTGAGATAAGATTGCAGTGCCAAGAATTTAAAAAAAAAACATGGAGCCACGAATACTCCGCTATCCTTTGAATTTAAAGTCTACAGCATGGTGAAGACGGCTGGCGCGAACACCTTACACTTGTACTGAGGGAGACCTTTTTGCGCGCAAGCAGCGCTGTGGCTGCGCGTTTCATGCTAACGAAACAAAGATCATCCGAGTTGAATATCAGGTGATACTTGGAAGATGCAGTACGCCCACGTGCTAAATAGACTATAGTAGTGGCCGGACCGTGCACCTGCGAAGGTATATCACGCTACTTTGCAGGTATTCAACAGTAAATGTAAATTGTAGCAGCTGGTCCACGTACTATCATGTAGCAACGATGCTCAGCTGACAGCTCATACTATTCATGATCTGGTGACTTTTGGGAAATGTTTCGCTCACCCCCTCATCTGATATGATGGTAAGCAATTCCTTCTCAGGGAGAGATGTTACAATTTTTGGCTGTGATGGAAAGTAGAATCGTTGGTTTATGCATAGCAATCATAACTTACAGTTTGGTTACCGGAGGACTGCAGTGGGGGATGGGGGGGCACTGGAGGACTGCAGGGGGAGGCGCCACTGGAGGACTGCAGTGGGGGGGGGGGGGGGGGGGGGGCGCCTAATGATTGATTGGGGGACTGGTCCGTAGTACCAGCCAATGTTTACTCAAAAGTAATATATAATTGAAATAAGTTAAATATTCATCCCCGAGGGGCACGCAGATTATAATTGTGATGTTATCTATTAAAACTATTCAATTAAAATTTTATTGGTCGAGTCGACTGGCCCTGATCTGCAAACATATTTGATATTAGTAACTTTATGACGCTGCCTCACCGCAATTAGGTGTGTTATCAGTGTAGATATTATGCGCTATGTGGCAGTGAAATAAGGAATGTGCTGTTAGAATGGCAGGTGGTTTGAAATGTTGTCCTGATTCAGATTGTTTAATTTGAGCTGTATGAGTTTGGTTTTGAGTGATTATTGACTATGTTCTTTGTGATTTACGTAATCCAGGTAGGTTGTGGAGTAAAAATGGTGGCCATTCGTCGTTGCAGCCAGCACTTTGCAAGTCTAGTAGTACTTTTTTTGACGAATTCTTATATATGTTGATAGAAAATATACTGGATGGGCATGTAATGCGAGTGTTATGCTCTGAAATAGCGAGCATTGGGCCTTTATAAAAGATGCTAGATCTCAGGTCAGTCTGTGAGTAAATTGATAACCAGTCTAAGTTTTGTTCGTGTGTCGTTCCTTGTTTGGGTGTGTTAGGAGGGAAAAGTTCTGAAATCGATTTAGGTAACAAACTAGACATATTTCGAACTTTGTGCAGTAAAATAAGTGCGTTTTTAACGATAACCCCTTGAACGGTTAAGACCTCGTGTTCTTTAAATGCTAGTTTTGTGTGCTCTGGCAGTTTTCCGTCCTTGTAGTAGTAGTTCACATTTCCGGCCATAACTGCCCTCATACCTTGTTTTTGTTTAGCAAAAAGAGATTCTATAAGAGATTTTGAAGCAAATCCCCAGACAAGTGAGCAGAAGTTTAAATGGGACTGAACAAAACTTTGGAAAATCTGTAAACGGGCCTTCATCGGCAATTTATGTTTTATCCTGTACATCACCCCAATAAATCTTGACATCTTGCTCCTCAGTGCTTTTATGTGGCTACTCCAGTTAAGCTTTTCATCTACAATTACACCAAGAAACCGAGCTTCAGTTTTACGTTCTAATACTGTGTTTTCTATTTGTACTTTAATCAATGATGGTTCTATACGCTTTTTCGAGAAAATCATATAACACGTCTTTTTTAGATTTAGTGCTAATCCGTTGCTATTAACCCACCGTGATAATGTTTCCGTTAATTGGTTGACCCTTAGCATTAGTTCTTGGACATTGGAACCGTTAATAATGATATTTGCATCGTCTGCATAAAGTATGAATTTTACCATCATGTTAGAAATACCGGGAAGATCGTTGATGTATATGACGAAAAGTAAGGGACCTAATATGCTCCCTTGTGGAACACCATGCACAATAGGCTTGTGGGACGAATGTGAATTGTTTATTGCTACATATTGGCTTCTATCACTTAGGTATGACTCAAACCACTTTAGAGCTATTCCCCGGATGCCGTAGTGCTGTAATTTATTTAGCAGTGTAGCATGATCCAGGACGTCAAACGCTTTACTGTAATCTAATAATAGCAGTAGTGAAATTTGGTTTTTGCTAAGAGAGTGTAAAATTGTACTTTGTGCATTAAGAAGAGCATGTTCACAGGACCTTCCTGGACGGAAACCATACTGATTTTCGAATAAAGAACTATTTTTGTTGAGAAATTCTAAGACACGTCGGTGCATCAGTTTTTCGTAGATTTTTGAGAAGGAACCTAAGAGAGAGATGGGTCTATAATTTTCAACGTCAAGTTTAGAGCCTCCTTTATGGATGGGAGTTACTTTGGCAATTTTAAGGGCCTGTGGAAATATGCCTGTACTTAAGGATTCGTTGATAACTTTTGCTAATATAGCAAGGAAACTATCGCTGGAACTGGCTACTTTTAGTGGTTCAATTTTTGTGTCAAGGGTCGCTTTGTTCTTCAAACCAATAATAATTCTTTGAATTTCGATCGTTTCGGCAGGCTGTAGATAGATTGATTGAGAACAGGATGTGGGCAGATATTCCTGGAACCCCCCAGGGTCAAAGGTCTGACGGGCACTTATCTGAGTTTTGATGTTCGTAGCAATGTTCGAGAAATAGTCATTAAACCTTTCAGCCACGGTATCTTCAGAACTCAAAATCGACCCGTCCGAACCTTTAAGTCTTAACTGCTCAGTTTTCCTGCTTCTACCAAGTAAACCGTTGATTATTTGCCATTGTTTTTTGGAGCAGTCCTGGTATTTTTCGAATTGTTTTTTATAGTATCGTTGTTTGGCAATGTTGACATGTTTTTTACAGAAAAGTTTTAGCTTTTTATAGGCCTCTATATTATTCATTGTAGGTTCAAGTACTTTACTATGATAACTTTCTTGTTTCCGCGCACATGCTTCTTCAAGCCAGGGTAATATCCAGGGTTTAGTATTAGAACGCTCATGCTCACGGCGAATATGATTGATTTTTAGTGGATAGGCAGTGTTATAGTGCTTGGTGTATATATCTGCAAGTTTACCGTATTGCAGACTAGCGTCGTCTGTACTTAATATCTCTTCCCACGTTTCCCCATCGATGAGTTCCCTAAAAACAGCATTGTTGGCCTCATTTATGACACGTGTTTCATAACTAAGTTTAGGTTGTGTGTTAGTGGGTAGCCTGAGATGTTGTTGCGAAGAGTTACTTAGTTTAAAAGTGGTAACGATAGCAAGATGATCCGATAAATCCACCGTTACAACGTTACTGCTTATTGTGTGACTTATATTATTTGTGTAGACATGATCAATTAAGGTAGCACTATGATCGGTGACTCGTGTCGGCCTTGAAACCGTCTGAACAAATCCATACTTGGCAAGGAGGTCTATGAGGTTCTGTCCAGAAATATCAGTTTTGAATTTTATAAGATCAATGTTCGCGTCCCCAAAAAACATGATATGCTTGCGAGAATGTCTGTCTAGACCTCGTAGCACCTTTTCCAAAGAATTTAAGAAGTTCTGAGTACCTTTAGATGGGGACCTGTAAAAGTTTATCAATACTTTTGTTTGGTTTGTGCCTTTGCAATTATGCACCTTAACTAATTGAAATTCAGCGCACGTGTCTTCGGGATCTGTGGTTGCCTTAAGATTTTCTATATTTTCGGGATCACAAACCCTCTTATTAATGTAAATTACAAGGCCACCACCTTTTCCTGATTTGCGTAATGGTTCCTGAACAATAGGCTCGTGAAACCCTTCAATTTTAATGTCGGAGATTCCGTTTGGTAATTTATCTAACTTCAAATTGGTTTCGTTAAGACACAAAACGTCATACTTAGTATAACTGTCGATTTCTTCACGGAAGTATGTGATGTTCTTTACTAATGATCGCACATTAAGAGAAAACACTTTCAGTTCATCACGGGAGGAACTTTTAATGTTCGATGGCTGCTGATACTTACAATTGGTTAATATATCGCTGATTTCGTTCCAGTATTGGTAACTTTCATCGTTATCCTGATCTAAAGCGTTACCAATCAAATCTAAACCATGTGAGCGGTCGTATGGATTGAAAAGAGCAGTGATTCGGCTGCTACAGTCCATAAAAAGATCATAAGATGTCACATAATAACCTGGGATTAACGACTCACAGCACTTTATGCAGCCTAAATTATCTCTAAAACACTTTTTATGAATGTACTCATCGCACCATGGACAAAACCTAATGTTTAATCTAGAATAACAAAACCCGTTACAGGCCATGCACTTTGTTTTAAAATTAGTCTTGTTAACACTACTTTTTTTATTCGTCGGGACATCAGAGGCATTGATTGGGAGAATTGAGCTTATGCATTCATAGCAGAACCATGGGTTCCCAGAATTTATAATGTGCCGGGCATCGTTTTTTGATAGTTTCTGGCATTTTAAATGTTTACGTTCAGCACATAGGTCACAAATTAGGTCAGGAGAACTTTTAGGGATACGAACATAGCATTTGTCGCAATTGGGCTGTGAGCCGTGTTGCCTTTGATTACTTCGCTCCACTTTCAGTGACAGAATAAAGTAAGAGTTGAAAACAGATTAAATAAATGAAACAAAAACTGAAAAAAGAAAAATTGATATTAATATATAATCTGATGGGTGTAGACAGTAGGCTGGTCAGATCCGTTTGCAAGAACTTTCAGTTCTGTGTGCAAGACAAGATCGTGACGGTTGGGCCTATTTGCTACTTAAAAACTACAGATTATCGTCTGCTCAATATTAACAGGCTCTGCAACTAGTTCTCTTAAAGAATTTGATAATAAATAACAGAAAAGATTGACTAATGCGAGGGGCGCACGGACTGTGGATCAGTCATAGTCTGTCAGAAGTCGGTAGTTGGGTAGATTGTCGATGTAATTTGTCGTTTTCTGTATCAATTGTACAATGTAATAAGATGTAATAATATACAGTAGGCCTCGTATTTTGTTTTATAAATGGAGTATTAAACGATGCGATTAAGGGACTGTAATTAGAATGACTGATAAGTGTAAAGCCGAGATTACTGATAAGGCGAGATGTTGTGACAGGTGTAAGTGAGTTGCGATAATATTAGTATTCGACGTGTTTTGAAATTGTTATGCTACGTTGGCTTAATTTGAAATATGATTGCAGATCAGTCCTTTTACAAATTGATCATAGTACTAGAGTAGTTGTATGTGTTTAACTCTCAGCCGAAACCGCAACTATTCATATAGTTGTTACATATATCTAAAAATGGACGTCTTAGAGGTAGTGATCCTTTACGAAATCCTAAACTCAGTAAAATCAAATTTATCCAACATGTCGTGAGAACAGATTTGCCAGTGTTATTTAAATGTATGCCATCCCGTGCAAGGTGAGGCAAACCGAAATTCAAATTGTCAAACAAAAGAAAGTTGGGCGAGCGTAGTGAGAGATGAACAAGCAGCTCGTTCAGGTTGTTAATACTGTCGTTCAGCTCATGGTAAGGGTCTGCATTCAAGTTGACTGGTGATATGGCGTCGAAGATGAATTGAGTGCCAGAGTGACTTATGAAATGTTTTAGGTGGTCGTGCAAGGTCATAGGATCAGCATGACCGAATCTGAGGTCGTTCACTCCGGCACTGATGAGGACTAAATCAGATTGTTCTATTGAGGCTTGGTGTTGTGCTAAGTCTCTCAGATGGAAGAGATCTTCTCTGAACGCAATGATCGGCTCTTTGAGGAGAGAGCAGTCGAATGTACGGTTCTTGGAGTCAGACAGTATAAGAACTCGCCGAAGTCGTTTCGGTGTTGGGTGGTCCTTGTGTGGTGATGATAGGCCTGACGACAAGGAGCCTCGTTGGGGACGTCTGCTCTTCTTGACTGTACTGGGGTCTTCTAGCAGTCTGAAGGTAATGCTCAATCGGGGCCCCTCAAATTTCTCTTCAGGGATTCCTGGAACGGAGTGATCCCATTCATCCTGGCTTTGTCTGGACATGGTATAGAGAGAACCATGAGTAGCTGTGAATGTCTCCTTCTTGTACTCTCCAGGGATCTTCCTCCGAAATACCACTTCTCTAGGACAGCCGAGTGACAGAGTGATGATGTTACTATCCCTACTGATACTGGGTTCGTTGTCTGAGTGGGGTGGAATGCAGGAGCGGGGAGAATCGTATGAGGTGACCATGGCTGAGTTGAAATTAAGATCTGGATATTCGGTCTTAAGAACATTAGCAATTTCACTCAAATATGACGATTTTGAAATGTCTCTAGCATGATGGGAACCGCCGGAATAGCGATATGAGAACTGACCATAGTAGGCAACACGTCTATTAGGAAAAGTACGGTCATAAGTTACGTCATCGTTCAGCGCAGAACTCGTAAATGTGTCAAAATGCGCACCATCAAGTGTCTCAAACGGTAGTGTACCTGAGTTTGTCGAGTTACCGTGTAGTCCTGGGCTGTGTAGTCGTTGGCTGGGGGGTGGGGGGATGGGCGTCTGCTGAGGGCTGCAGGGTGGTTGAATAACTGTGGTAGTTGTTGAACTGAGAGTTTGGCCAATGTCTTTTTGAAGTCCTTTCAACTGCTTACTAGCGTCCTCCGTGTGCCTCGTAATGATTTCAGTTAAATTATCAACGCAATTAGATAACAAGTTAAATAAAGAATCTTGTTCTTCGCCAATAAATTGTTGGAAATGCTCTTTTAGGGCCACACGAGCTTCGTCAATGTCCTTTTTACTACGAGTTTTACGTGGCAGATTCTTGATAAATTCAGGATTCAAAATGAGGTTGCTCTCCCTCATTATCTGATCTTCATCTAGCTTGTCGACTAGCTCTAGGCTGGTCAGCGCTGAGAATCCCCCTAATCGTTTTGGTTCAGGTTCCATTATCAAAAACTTACTTTACTGGAAAGTTTGTGGCAGCTTTATGTAATTGGACGGTTCTGATTCCCGTACCGCCTAGCCTCAGTCTGTCAGTCGTAGTTAGTTACCACAGTCCACGTCACAAGCACATGCAATTTAGCTGTTATCTACATACAGATAAGAGTGGACAAACGTACTACAGAAAGAAATGTGTGTAATGAGAGAAATGAGTGTAATGAAAGAAATGTGTGTAATGATCTATATGTAATTATGAACACGATAGCCTGAGGTCCCCAGGTAAGAGGACTGCAGTGGGGGGGGGGGGGGGGCACTGGAGGACTGCAGTGGGGGGCGCCACTGGAGGACTGCAGTGGGGGGCGCCACTGGAGGACTGCAGTGGGGGGGGACGCCACCGAAGGACTGCAGTGGGGGGCCTGCGCTGGAGGACTGCAGGCTACTCTATGAAGCTCCAACCTGACAACCTCATATTAGTTTTAAAAGACCCCGGCTTCGTTTTAATATGATGGAATTCAGTGGAAGGCGAGGCTGGCATAATTAGTGATTCTGATTAAAGGGTGAGGAGAGCAAGTTAATTAAGTATCGTGGTAATGGGCCGTTTGCAGTTCGCACATTACAGTATTCACTTTTTGGCCAATTGTTTACCCCTTCCTTTCAGTTTGAACCCCCTCCTTAGTAATTAAGTAATATGTGAGCGACGTGACTTAACGGGTGATGAGTTATAAACCTACAAGTGAGCGACCAATTAGGTGTCGATTTTATTTCAATTATACGGATGCCGTGGCCTTTTCAGTAGAGTTTAATCATTTAACAGTAGCCTTTGTGATTCAAACATTTATGCGGCTATGCCGGCTGCTCTAGTTATCTTTCATTTTTGTCACACCAGGAACTCTCCATGCACTCTCTCGTCCGTCACGCACATCAGAAACTGATCTACGCGCGCACACGTGTTTTATTGCGCAAGACTGTCTATAAATTCGATTGTCGCGTATTCCAATTCTCATTTGAGAAGAACGTTTACAGCACAGATAAACGGTCAATATTCACAAAAAGAAACACGCAGTCTGAATAAAAGAAATCATACACAAATCATAAGAATAACAAATAGCCCTAGTCCTCACCAAAACATTCCACCGTTACGCTACCTATATACTCCATATTCAGTCCACCGTTACGCTACCTCTCTGCTCTATTGAGTTGCATGTGAGACTTAACCAGGTCTCCAGAACAGAGAGCGGAGAGAAGGGATATCTCACCAGCCAACACTGCTCCACATACCACCTGTAATAGTGGAGATTGAGGAAACTAAACACTGCTCCACATACCACCTGTAATAGGGGAGATTGAGGAAACTAAACACTGCTCCACATACCACCTGTAATAGGGGAGATTGAGGAAACTAAACACTGCTCCACATACCACCTGTAATAGGGGAGATTGAGGAAACTAAACACTGCTCCACATACCACCTGTAATAGGGGAGATTGAGGAAACTAAACACTGCTCCACATACCACCTGTAATAGGGGAGATTGAGGAAACTAAACACTGCTCCACATACCACCTGTAATAGGGGAGATTGAGGAAACTAAATCATAAAGTAAACATGGTGCGCGGTGTATTATAATGTATATATAAGTTAAGTGTATAATATATAATGTATTATATATACCCTATATAGTCAAGTGTAAGCAGTGTTCGTGTATCCTACACCCATCTTCGAAAGGGCATTTCGGTGATGCCTTTAATATGATTACCTTTAATATGATTAACACTGGTCATATCCATTGAGACTACAATAATCAGGTCAACAGGTACATGAACAACTGTAACTGTGGAAGTTACACAACTTGATGAGGTAAACTCTCAATATGCAGGAAGTACATGGTGACCTGGGACAAAACACACAAGCATTGTTAAAATATTTACTAAACGCTTTAAAAAAAACTTAAACTTCAATAATAAGTTTTGTACACCAGGTGGGTAGAAGTAAGGCAGATTTCTCTTATAGGAATAGGAGCGGGAATTATTGTACCTGTGCTTATTATATTATGTCATATTATCTATTATCAAGTATCACTACTGAACAACACACTACAAAACAAACACCATTAGCAAAATGATTAAAGTTTGTGTGATGTCTCTCTTGCTGGAGTCAGCATTCAGCTGCTAAGCGGACACAGAGGCTCACTGCAGTTATCTCTCCTCCGGAGCAACTAAAGAACTTATCACAACACTAAGGATATAGCGCCATCAGAATCATAGTCCGGGTGGAACTTATCACAACACTAAGGATAACGCCATCAGAATCATAGTCCGGGTGGAACTTATCACAACACTAAGGATAACGCCATCAGAATCATAGTCCGGGTGGAACTTATCACAACACTAAGGATAACGCCATCAGAATCATAGTCCGGGTGGAACTTATCACAACACTAAGGATAACGCCATCAGAATCATAGTCCGGGTGGAACTTATCACAACACTAAGGATAACGCCATCAGAATCATAGTCCGGGTGGAACTTATCACAACACTAAGGATAACGCCATCAGAATCATAGTCCGGGTGGAACTTATCACAACACTAAGGATAACGCCATCAGAATCATAGTCCGGGTGGAACTTATCACAACACTAAGGATAGCGCCATCAGAATCATAGTCCGGGTGGAACTTATCACAACACTAAGGATAACGCCATCAGAATCATAGTCCGGGTGGAACTTATCACAACACTAAGGATAACGCCATCAGAATCATAGTCCGGGTGGAACTTATCACAACACTAAGGATAACGCCATCAGAATCATCACAACACTAAGGATAACGCCATCAGAATCATAGTCCGGGTGGAAATTATCACACCACTAAGGATAACGCCATCAGAATCATAGTCCGGGTGGAAATTATCACACCACTAAGGATAACGCCATCAGAATCATAGTCCGGGTGGAAATTATCACAACACTAAGGATAACGCCATCAGAATCATAGTCCGGGTGGAACTTATCACAACACTAAGGATAACGCCATCAGAATCATAGTCCGGGTAGAACTTATCACAACACTAAGGATAGCGCCATCAGAATCATAGTCCGGGTGGAACTTATCACAACACTAAGGATAACGCCATCAGAATCATAGTCCGGGTGGAACTTATCACAACACTAAGGATAACGCCATCAGAATCATAGTCCGGGTGGAAATTATCACAACACTAAGGATAGCGCCATCAGAATCATAGTCCGGGTGGAAATTATCACAACACTAAGGATAACGCCATCAGAATCATAGTCCGGGTGGAAATTATCACAACACTAAGGATAGCGCCATCAGAATCATAGTCCGGGTGGAAATTATCACAACACTAAGGATAGCGCCATCAGAATCATAGTCCGGGTGGAAATTATCACAACACTAAGGATAGCGCCATCAGAATCATAGTCCGGGTGGAAATTACCAACACAGGTTTTTTAAAAATAGAAATAGTGGGGTAAATTCAACCCAAGATAAGGACAGAATAAGTGGGGGAAAAAAACAATAAGGGAAGCAGGCAAAAAGAGAGGGGGAAAATAAAAAAGGAACGAAGAAAAAGGGGTGGAAAGAAAAAGAGAAGGATAAGGGACAGAAATAGTGGGTGGAATTAAGGGGGACAAGGAGGGGGGTTTTCAAAAAAAGGGGGAAAAAAAAGAGAAAAGGAACGGGGAGAGAGAGGAGGAGAGGGAGAGAGAGAAAAGAGAAGGATAGAGAGAGGAGAGAGAGGAGGAGGGAGAGGAGAGAGAGAGGAGAGAGAGAAGAGAGAGGGAAGAGAGAGGAGAAGGAGAGAGAGTGAGAGAAGGAGAGAGAAGAGAGGGGAGGGGGAGGAAGGAGGAGTGTGAGCAGAGAAAAGAAGGATGAGAAAAGAAAGAGGAGAGAGAGAGAGAGGAGGAGAGAAGAGAGAGAAGAGAGGAGAGGGAGGGGGGGGGGGGGGGGGGGGGGGGGGGGGGGGGGGGGGGGGGGGGGGGGGGGGGGGGGGGGGGGGGGGGGGGGGGGGGGGGGGGGGGGGGGGGGGGGGGGGGGGGGGGGGGGGGGGGGGGGGAAAAAAAAAAAAAAAAAAAAAAAAAAAAAAAAAAAAAAAAAAAAAAAAAAAAAAAAAAAAAAAAAAAAAAAAAAAAAAAAAAAAAAAAAAAAAAAAGAGAGAAAAGGAGAAAAGGGAGGAGAGAGAGAAAAAGGGAGGGGAGAAAGGGGGGAAAGGGGAAATTTAAACCAAGAAATTTCCCCAAAAAATTTGTGGTTCATGATTTTGGGGTAATTTTTTGGGCCCCTGGGGTGCCCCTTTAGTACAAACAAATAGATTTTGGTATGTATAACCTTCCTTAGTACGGAAAAAAAAACACAGGGAAATTTTCATTTAAAATTTAAAAATTTAAACCCCGGGGGGGGTTTGGGACAAAAAAAACCAACCCAGGGTACTGGAATATTACTATACCAGGAGTAGATATTACTTTACTGGAGTATCACTCCAGTATAATCATTAGAAGTTGAAATACACTGAAAGTCATGGTTGAGTAGACATTAGACAACGTCATAATATGTCCTGTTAGTGTTACACTGTATTGCGATTTACGATAACAATCAAATATCGAGGCTAATTTATTGATTGCAGGTAATATATAAACAAAAGCTCTAAGAAACAGATAGTAAACAAAGTAAACATTTCTGTCCCCTAATCTTTCTCAAACAAAAGTCATGCAATTTGCATACTTCTCCATTTAACTCTATTCTGAGCGATTAAAGTTAAATTGTTTAAATCACATAAATTATTTAACGATAATTTTCGAACACTAAGGTCGTGTAGAATCAGTGAGAAAAGGTTTGACTGCGGTCTTCCACGCCGCCCTTGAAGCTGTAAGGTGTTAACAGCAAAAACAAGCGACGAATAGGCTGGACCATCTGTAGGCCCACGCAGTTCATGTCCGAGCATCCTCCACCGACTACGAGCCACTTTAGCTGACAATGGTTCGCTATTGCAGCGTTTATACAAGTTCTTGTTGGAAATGATGTGAGGGTATTTGTAATTCAAAATTGATCGCAGATGACGTCTGTGAGCAATATCTAGATTGCAGGTAAGGACAATGTATAATTGAGCAGTGTTGATATAATGACTAACTCTCTAATCTACGAACGAGAGGGTTCTCTGTCCATTTGTGGAAATAAGGTGTTGGAAAATTAAAGGCACAAACGAAGAATGATGATTAATCACTCTACACTCGACTGTCACGTGACTTTTTAAATTTCGTATCACCTGATCGAGACAGTTTTTCGCCAATATCTGGCCCGGGGAGCATTTTAACCCTATTTCATGGGGGGGTGATTCGGAATCAGCGTCCGAAAATACATCGTTCTAAGTTGTATTGGTTTCAACTGACGCCTGACGGGGGCCCGTTTAGAAAAATCTCGAAGATCGAGTGTAGAGTGATTTAGCACGCTCGACTAACGAACTCCTACTTATCACATTCCATCATTTAATCAAACTAGAAAAAAGAACAACTCAATCAACCCTTTATTTTACAGCTCTCTGAATTCAACATATTTTGTTTACAGTGAAACATGAAACATACCTAAACTAGTTTGAAATACAATAGAGAAATGCAGTATCATCTAACATGTAAAGTCGTGTTTTACACTTTGGTCAAGGTAAGTATCATCTAATATGTAAAGTCGTGTTTTACACTTTGGTAAAGGTAAGTATCATCTAATATGTAAAGTCGTGTTTTACACTTTGGTAAAGGTTAGTCCGGAAGGGACTGAGTCTGCCAATCTTATACTCTTACAGAAAGTATGTGAGGAATCCTAAGACAAAGTGTTACCTGAGCTAATAAAGCAGCATTAATGTTCACGTCCGGGGTGCTGGTTAGAAGTTGTAAGTTATTTTGTTGAGCAGCCAGTGAGGTTCCTCCACCAACTGTGCCTACCTGACGTGAAATTAACCTTATAATAATGATCAATAATATTTTACTTTTTAGACGTGCTGGGTCTTGGTGCCCACGAGAGAACGTCTCACCTCTCCACCAGTATCCGAATCTAGATAAACTAGTGAAACCATTCCAAGTTACCGTAAAAGAGAGTCAATTAAGCTTAACTTGGAAACTAACCTCAATACAAGGCATAGTGACACTGACATACAGGTCTCCCCGATCCAAACATTCCATATTCACCATTGCCATGGAACTGGTCCCTGCCTGCGCTATGTCCTGTCCTGTTGCTAGGTAAATACCTGCTACTATGTTACTAGCGTGTGCGTTATTACCACCTGGGAAGATTATATTTAGTTCTGCTTTGTCAAACTGTATTGTGGGGGGCCGGGGGGGGCTGTATTGTATTCAAGGCTCGGCCGGGACCACTTTTTTGGCCGGGACCAGAAAAATATGCCGGGAACGGCTAGTATAGGAAAAATTTTACTTGTAATAAATATTTGGTATTATCACACAGCCGATCTCATTCGATGACTCTTAGTATATTGATCTTATATAACGTACATGGTGTTTCCAGAATATTCTTTATTTTGATTTTAGCATAAAACATACTCCTTATGTGCGACTACTTTACCTATTACGGCATAACACATGCATTATTTATTGAGATTAATGCTAACCATAAAAAATGACTTTTGTTTTTACCGCGTGACCTTAGATATTATATATCATCAGTTTTTATTCTACATTCAGCGGTGTAATGATAACAGCTTCTAAAAACAATAACAATTTGTATCCCTAGCTGAGCCAGCTTTTCCGGATCTATCTGTGTACACCTCCTCCCTTAGTTTCAATGTGGCGAAAAAAAGTTGTAGGGAATAACAGACTGAGCCTCCGGTCGTAGAAATGAACTTGTTTTTAAAATACAACTTAAGGGCAATAAACTACGAAATAGATCAGGTCAAGTCCCACCTGTTGGTAACCTGGCCCGTAACAGTCTGAACAAAGACTATACTGATAAGGACTCACACAACGACAGTATGATTTCTGAGTCCGAAGAAGAGGCAGTGAGATTGAATTTACAGATGATGAGGGAAAGCATTTTGCTTTAATCTTAAGGGGGGGGGGGGGGGGGGGGGGGGGGGGGGTTCACCCTGATTTTTTTGTGAAACTTGGTTTCGAGATAGCAGTTGTCCGACAAACTAGGACCAGTGACCAAACTTTTGAGGGGGTCCCGGACCCCAACCGCCAAAAGGTGCCCGCGGGGCAGCCACGCCCATATTTGGTCCAAATTAGGCCCAATTTAGCCAAATACCTTGAACATGCTCAGAAACCAGATTTTAGGTGCTTTACTTGTAGCTAGTAGTCCCCTGAACTCATATACGAATTTTCATCAAGATTGGACAAAAAATGACTGAGTTATGAGCCAAAAACCATATGACCATATTTGGGCATACGCACCAAATTTGATCAATTTTTGCCCATAAATTGGTCAAATATCAATATTTTTGAATGAAACCAACTTTATATGTAAGATAAGCCTATACTACACATTCTCTATGATTATCAGCTCAATATCTACCTAACTGTAGATTCTATGTTCAAATAATCGCAAAAAATGAACAAAATCGCTCATATCTCAGTTCGCGATATTTGCAAAACTGATTTCGCTCAAAACAATAGAACTCAATAGGGTTTCAATATTTTTACATGAAATTTTCAGAATCAACGTAGAATCGCATTTCGACCTTAAGTTTTGTATTGGAATTTTGAGTTAGGCCTTTAAAAAAATTCGGCGGCCAAATTCTGAATTTTGCAGTGCAAATTTTGGAATTTGGCCGCCAACTAGAACATAATAAATGAACAACATAATACAATAGACCACGTCATAATAAATAAAACACTAATCGAACTGTCCCGATTTATAAGAATCGTCAACAGCAGCAGCAGCACCAGTTGCTGTCTTTACGATGTCAATCCTCTCCTTGTCCATGTAAGTCTCCTCACTTACAATCCTTTTCTTGTCTTCTTCGACGATGAACTTTGTCAAGAACAAGGTTGGCTTGAAACTGTTCTTCTCAACTATCTTCCTCAGGTATGATAGCCCAGAGTTATTTTGCACGACACCTCGTGCAAAAGCTCCTCTTAGAATCTCAGGACCTCGGAACTGAAAATATAAATGTGGTACAATAGACAGTTATATGATTACTACTCGCACAAGTAATTGAATTCTGAAACAATGATTATATTTATAGCCCAAATGATTAATCGGCTCATTATACCTTCTTTTTCGAATGCTGGCTGTGAACCGAGCTGAAGAGGGATTCCAAGTCGTCAGTGTGGAGACCCTTCGAGAGTTTCACAAGCATTAGATCGCTAGTGAATTCGTCAATTATTGGCAGCAGCAATTGATAGAACTCGCCGTACAAGTGCGTCTTTTTCCTTTCTGCATACCTGATTTAAAGAGCTCAGTAATTCCTCTCCTATGCAATGGGGGTAAAAATGTTTTGCAAATAACAGCTGGTCTAAGATATGATTAAAAATGTTTAGTGATTCAATAAGACTAACTCTGAAAGGTCACCAGCTTGCTGTCTCCTCCAACCACAAAAGCTATTCTTTCCTTTGGGGCACAGTTTGTGACGATGAGCAGGAGGTGTCACCATGCAGTTGTGCAAGAAAACTCCCCGGATCCCTTTGTTCAAACGTTTCATCTGTGATAGTTGTCGTTGTAATCTTGTATATTTCCGATGTCAGGTACTGCGAGACAGAAAAAATATGCATTGTTTGACCTCTTAGGACTTGTGACGAAATATTTATAATAAAATTATATTTATACCTTCGCTTCGACCGATATCGTTTCAGCAGTCACGCTCTTAACAACCTTCTTGACCTGTATCTGCAAACTGGTGCACTTCTCTCCCGTCATCCGGTGACCACCAGCCCCTCTTATGGAAACATTCTTCTGCTCTGTTACCTCGATTTTGTCCTTCTTCTTTTTTTCTACCAGAACATTCACAAGTGGGAACTTGTGATTCCTCAATCTAGCTCCGAGGTTTCGGCACCAGTGTTCCACGCAGTAGTTATCGTTGACTCTCAGGCATCCGACAACACCCTTCTGGTGGTCTAGCTCCCACTGCTTAAACTCGTCGCTCTTCCTGTTATAAGTATAATTTACTATTAATTTACAGTGCAGAACTTGGTCATATCAAAAGCAAAAAAAAACTATTACCAATCGATAGGCCATAAATCACACTTACAGAAATGATTTCCATTCAGGAGACTTTGCATCTGTATGCTGTAGTTTTGTACAAGTGGCACACAGACCCAAATCCTTGTACGCAAATCTGATATGGAACATTACATCTGAGTCCCTATCACGTACGACTCCGTCAAACACCACCCCTCCTTCCGGCCAGCTTTGACTCCGTTCGAACATTTCCCGAACACCTGTGGCCTCCATTCCGCCACTGGATCCCTTCGTAATTAGCCTGCGATTAGACTGTAAGTTTTGTAATTGGACACTATTGCCGTTTGTCATTGAGCAATTCTTATTGTACGTTTACTGATTATCATAAAGACTGAATATAAAGATAGCACTAGCAGTATCTACTAAGAACTTACTGAGCAGTTGGCACAGGAAACAATCTCACTGTCTTTCTGCATATTGCAGCTATTGCAATATTTCGACTTGAAGATGCAGTCTAACACTTTACCAGTTTTTGAGGACAACACCACAACAAACCCAAAGTTTGACGTAAAACCCGCTTTCGACCAGCTTCCGTCGATTTTAACTGTGATTCGAGGTTTCTCACCGACGTACAAAGTTGACTGCTGATTCTTAGCTAGAGAAAGCTCCTCGACTCTATTCCTATGAACCTGCTCCATTAGAATTTCCTCTTCAATGGACAGTAACTTCGATTGATTCCTCTTGAATGTTGAACTGGAATCTTGGTGCTCTATCCCCATCAGGCCTTTGAACTTGTTGAGACCTGATGTAACAATAAATTTCTGTTGATAGATCAGTAAGGTTATTTACAAAAATACTGAAAGATAGATGTTGATAAGTTGATACGAGATGGTAGAGTAAAAATAAGATAATACCTGCGAAATGGATGTCCAGACACCTCATTGACATTTGCATCTCTGTTGCGACCAATCGCTAACCTGGACAACTTGGTTACAGCTGCAGTGAACTCTGATGGAGGTGGTTTGTGCGCTCTGGTCAACTTCCAACTCTCTCATTGGTTTCGTGCATCTGAATATATTTATTTAGAGTTCAATAAAGAAAACTGATAATAATTGTTATATTATTTTAATCAATTTATGTTCGTGATCATTTAGGTTAAATATCATAAAAATGGGATTACCTATTACGTCCACCAACGTCCAAGTGATTACGATACAAGTTCAAAAGCTCCTTCAAACTTTGCTGGGACATTACAACAGTTAAACCCGACTCTTCGCTTTCCTTGACTGCAGCTGACCTTTGCAGTACTGCCTTCCTCGCTAAAGTTGGGGACTCTGGGGACTCTGTACCAGACACAATGTTGTATAGTTTCTTTCTGGGAGGTGGACTTTTTCAGAGCTCTTAGTTGCAGTTCCTCCAGTTTATCAGCACCCTCTGGAAAATGGGAAATTACTTTTAGTCACTTAGAAATATCAAAGTTGACATTACCAATGAAGTACTCAAATATTAGCTGGAATAAACTACAAAACGGACCTATAATTTGGGGATTTTATCTACCTACCATCTTGGGAACTCAAGTCAGGACTACTGATCTCAACATGGACAATACTGGAAGTCGGTGTATCCTCTAGCGTCGTCGGTCTGGTCTGAGGTGGGAGGTGTTTTGAACTTCTATGGGCTGAGGTTGAGGACTTTGATCTGGTTGGGTGTAGTTTTCTGAACACGTTTATCCAGGGGAAGATTTCCAAAACCAGACATCTTGCGCTTTTTTGGTCCCATGACTATAACTAATACTCATTGTCAGAAATCAAAGAATTATATTAGTTCACTTACAATCGCAAACATTGGTAAATATCTGAATGTCATACAGAAAACGTTTTGTTTAGTTTATAGACGAGATGCTTGTATAATTGAGTTCAAAATGAAACAAACGTACCAAATTTTGGGTTGTGCGGGTGAAACACATTTCTGGTCAAAGTATCACTGGACCCGAAGGCCCTCAACATACCACCCTGTGAATCGTGATCTGGCCAAACCACTTAATTTAAAACTCTAATTTAATTAATCTTTAACAAAACTATATATGAACTCACAAAATAATTTGTTGTTGTTTTTAAAACAAATATGCTTGTTTACTGAGAGCAGGTGAAAGTTGGTTTTTAAGCTTACGATTTTATCGTAAATTTAGATTCGAAAGTATTTTAAATCCAATTTAGTCACAATATTATATAAACAATAAAAATTTGTGATTTTCCGACGGGTAGATACCAACTTTTGAAACCCATTTTGGGTATTTTCCTGAGAAGATATCGACATGCAGACTTCGCTACGTTGTTTAGAATCACTTGAAGTACAACTGACATAAATTTGACATGGATTGAGGAAAGTTTAATTTTTGAGCATTTTGGGCATTTTTTGGGGTGACGCGACCACTTTTTGAAGCCCATTTTGGGCAACTTCCCGATAAGATATCGACATGCGGACTTCACTACGTTGTTTAGAATCATTTGAAGTACAACTGACATGAATTTCACATGGATTGAGGAAAGTTTAATTTTGGTCATTTTGGTCATTTTTGGGCCATGTGACCAAACTTTTTGAAGCCCCATTTTTGGGCAACCTTCCCCCCCAATAAGATATCGACATGGGAATTTCACCACAAGATTCCAAATCGTCTCAAGTGTATGAAACCACTTAAAACCAGAAAATCGATAAACCATTAATTTTTGACATGAACCCCCCCCCCCCCCCCCCCCCCCCCCCCCCCCCCCCCCCCCCCCCCCCCCCCCACCCCCCCCCCCCCCCCCCCCCCCTTAAGTTTTTTAAAACAATTAGTGTTTTTTATTCATTTCTACGAAAAGTTTCTCAATATTATTAACAATAAATGGGCAAAAATTTAGAAAAAATTATGGTTTGGTCCCGGCTAAAATGCCGAATTTTAATCGGGACTGGATTCCCAAAAATAGGCCAATTTTAACCACGAGCGGGATTCCGGTCGAGCCTTGATTGTATTTGACCTTGATATCCTTGACACAATTTTCAGAGTTTCACAAAAGTGCAGACGAACCTATGCAGCCAGCAAGACTGGATCCGACGTGGTTTTTAGAGGAGTTCAACTCCGCAAGAGCTCCAGCAGATGTCTTGAGAACTGATTTGATGACGTCACACTTAAGAGTGACGTCACAGGAAATGCTGTAACCTCTGTTGTTTATCCAGTTCATTGCTGACGGTTTCTTGTCAACACAGTAGTTACCTGAATCGTAGCAAGTAATGATTAGTGTGGTGTATGAGGGGAAATGTTCCAATGTACAAAACATTAGAGGCTATCACCTTATTCAATTAACGAAGTTTTTTCTCGTCTTTAATGATAAAATAGGGAAAAACTGAAATAGATCGATGAATTCTGATGCAGTGGGCTTGCACTTTCGTATATATTAAGTTTCATCATTGAACAAAAGGAATAATTGTTTACACAGTAAGAGTTTTCCGCTAAGAGTCTAACATAAACTCACCACTTATACTAAGGACAGTCATGTTCTCAAAAACGTCAACCGTTTGAAGAAACTGAAGCATCTTCTCGCAGCCTTTACTGATCATGTTCATACCCATTGCATCACCAGTCGCGGCTACTACCCTCAGAAACAGTAACTTTCCCGCTTGCTTCGGATTAATCGACTTCAACTTGGCGAATCTACTGGTACTCTCGAACTGCGCCCTTATTTTCTCAAAATTACCAGGTTCTAATATCCAATCAGCAGCTTGCTTTGCTGCCCTGCCGCAACTGAACTTGATCAGTGGAGCCCGGGTCATCCCGAAGTAGGTTTGAGTACTGTCTATTCCACCACTGAAAATAGTTGGTGGTTCAGAAATTTCAACGGGGTATCTGCTTTGTTTAATGAGAATTAAGCAAGTTTAACGTAATCACAAAGAGGAGGTTCCATAATGGACCTATAAACTGGAGAGGGGAGATAAAATAACAAATTAACGTGAAAAATAACGAGGTACAATACTAACAAGAGCTAGCACCTTTCTCTAACAGCCCTGCATCCTCTAGACAAACTAGCAACCAGCGCTCCCTCAGTAGTTGCTATGGGAACATTATACTCGCTCCCATTTATAAGAAGAGGTCCCGCCAGACCCAGAGGAACGGGCACGTAACCAATAACATTTTCACAGCAACTTTTAGTAGCAGTCTCGTAGTTAGAATAGTGCTTGTAGGGGATAGTATCTCTGATATGATCAGGGTAGTCTGATAGAAGGAACTGTTGTCGGATCTGCACTGCTCTCAGAGGTTCCAGTTCTCGGTCTAGGGTGTATTGTTTTATCTGGCCTGTCTCAAGTAAGGATAGGATCTCCTCGTCTGTTTTATCGGTAAGTTTTGGCATGGCTGATAACAGGATTTTATATTGATAGTAAAATGAAATCAATACCTAAAATCATAAAATTTTCCACATAATGAGAAAATGTGGCATACTCACGCTAATATTAACATTGAATTTGAGATGATTCTGATTTCTGAGTAAAACACAAAAATTATAGGTTACTGCATGCAAACGCTAAACAATAATAATATACAAAAGTTCAACATTTATTATAGAAAGATAGTGTACAGAACTCTACATCTACCTGGGTTAAAGTCTAAAGCTAAACAAATATATGTACGATAAATTAGTTCGATGAACATGCAATCTATATATAGATAGCTATATCCTATAATACGACGTAAATTAAATTTTAAATAATATGATATTAATCAATTCTAAATATGATCATGCAATAGTTCATATAACTCGAAATGAGTATCAGATTATCTGTTCGATAGAACTGTCTATTTTCTGTCCTGACGAAGTGCCCTTCCTCGTCATGGTTATTGCATTAGGCATCGTTAAAGGAATCTCTCTTTTAATACACACAATTGTTTCTTTTAGGATATCCAAGTAATTATTATTGCTATTTTTATTTGATTACTACATAAGTCACTCAAAGTCAGTATAAGTATTCACACACACACACACACACACACACAATATTTAAGGTTATTTTACACACACAATATTTAAGGTTATTTTACAATTCACAATATTTACAATAATTTAAACTAGCTGAAGCTTTAAAAATCAATAGAATATCTAAACAGCGTTCATAAATTTCGCATCAAGCGAACCAACCATATTATATTATATTTTACACGTTCCATCGTTTCAATCAGTATGCTAAAAAACTACATCTCCACTGTTTAACCTTTCACACCAGTCTGTAAAAACGTAAACATTCTCAATCTGATCACCTGACAGCAGCCCGACTTGTCCCACTCCCAGCAAAGTATTTAGTGTTCATATACTTCATAAACATGAACATGAAGAGTTTATCACCCCTCCTTGAGAAGGCGAACAAGCACCCATTGTACCACCTCTTACACACACCACACACCACCACCAGCTCCTCGAAGGAGAGGTAGGAGAATATGAGGTCGATACAGTCGTCCGGGAGGATGTGGACGGAGGGTTTAGCTGGGTCGGACGAGGGGTTCCCCAGGATCTGGTATCGGGGAGTGTATTTAAAGTGGGAGTCTACCCAATCTCTCTCAGTTTCATCTTCTTTTTTATACTTTCTGTGGTGCACTTTTGGGAAGCGCAACATTCTATTGGGGGCTATGAATTGAGGGAAGAAAATATTGATAGATACTGAGTTTAAACAAAATCTTCTAAATTAGTTGTGATTAATCCACTTAATTTGATACATTATTGTGCCGGTATTAATTTGGTTCAGAGTTTCACCGTCCCTATTCAATTAATTTTCATCGAATCATTCTATTATTTCCTATTATATCTCATAATGAAAATTAATGATAATCTTCTTGTGATATTTTACATTTTTAGATGAGCACATGTCAGTATGAATTTAGTCAAAACAGTAAAATTTTTCAATGAAATTTGTAAATTATTTGAATGATATAAACACTTATTATTATCTCATTTTATAAACAATAAACGTGCAAATTAATCGGGTAATTTAATTTTAATCAGATAAATTATGTTTCATATCGCATGGATTTCAATATTTAAACAGCTACACATTCAATTATTCATGCATTGTTTGATAGTTCCTCTAGCTCCATGTAGTGTAGTTGTCATGGTAACTAGTGTAGTTGTCATGGTAACTATGCATTGTTTGATAGTTCCTCTAGCATTTAATACTTAAAGTTAAATTTCTGATCACAGGATAATAAATGTTTGATATCCTTGGTGTAGATTTGAATATGTCAAAAACATACGGAAGAGTAAAAAGTGTTCCTTCAGAAAAGGAATTTAATTTATATAATACTAGAGTAACCCAGCCTTCGGTCGGGATTCCGCTGTCGTAGCTAAAATAGGCATCATGTAGCCTCCATGCTCGACAAACCCCGACAAACCCCGACAAACCCCGACAAACCCCGTTTGCCAGGGTTTGTCGAGGGGTTTTGCCTCGGGCCCACCGGCTACATGAGGCCTTCTTGTGTAGTGTTTTTCCACGTAAAGCTTGATGACTCCGTCCAAAAAAAGCCTCCAGGCTCGACAAACCCCGACAAACCCCGACAAACCCTGACAAACCCCGACAAAACCCGACAAACCCCGACAAACCCCGACAAACCCGACAAACCCCGACGTGTCGAGATATGTCGTATCATGTCGGGCCCACCGGCTACATGATGCCTTAAAATGGTGCAAAAGTATAAACCTGCTCAGCCTGCAAAACATTATCAAGCAATCAAGATGTGTTTGTAAAATCTCAAGTGACAGAAGAACATACCTTTAAAAAAATTATGAAACATTACCAGTGAGGATGGAAAGGATTCACGTACTCTAGTTCGACACGCACTATAGTTCGCCAGATATCACCCCTGTCGAACTTCGGTACGTGTCGAACTAGAGTCCAGGCAGCGTACTCTAGTTCGACAAATAGTTTCTGCTTGTGATCCAACGGCTATTGCCGGGTCCTCATCATAGGATCACATGGTTCAATGGCAGATAAAACAATTTTCTGACATTTAGCAACCAGCGGTTAGAAATTCCAGAACCTTTCAGTATAGTTTTAATTCTCCTGTTTACCACTCGGTTCTGGTCTAGCTAACGTGTCGAACTTGAGTACGTGTATCGATGGAGAGAAACACACTCAAACTTAATAACGTATCGAAACGGAATATTGTACTCCAGTTGAACTTCCTATAAAGCACCTGCACCGTTCACCAGACAGTTAGGAGCAGAGAAGCCACTCATTCAGGCCGAGGAGCAAAGTCTCGTGATCGAATAAAATCTATAATCTATAAATTATAATCTATAATTCAGATCAAACTGCCACGTTAATAAAAAGCAGCAGGCCACCAATTTAACCACCAATTGAACCACTCTAATACCGTTTCCTTGATTAAGTCATTTATAAATTTATAGAACACACACTCTTATAATTTAAGCTATTATGATACAAAAAGAAAATTTGTTTCTAGGACCGTACCTTTCTGGGCTTTCTGGAATTTTACTTCTCTGGAACCTTACTTTTACAGAATGTTCTAGAACTCGGTGGAACTATGTGCCAACTTACAACGAATCAATTTACCACAGTAATATAATATAATATTCCCTCGACTGAACGATGTTAAATATTCCATATTACGTTTCACAAATCAGGTACAAAATCTTATTGTATAAAGTACTATGATGCTCCATTTTCACGTATCGGATGATACGTAAGTCAAAACGTAAGTCAAATCCTGTGTAAAAGTCAATAAAAACAATTCCTAACATGTTTAAACAATTCCTAACATTTTAAGTGCACCCATTATTTACAATATAAATCAAATTATAAATTGACTCTAATAAATCTAGTGCTGCAATGTGGCGTAATCCGGTAATTCCAACTCCTTATCACCTCCCACTATTATTCACCTCCCACTATCTAACATAAGAATTACTAAGCGATGGCAGCAATAAGAGCCGACCCAAGTCCAGAGCCATCAGTGGCAACTTCCAGATTAACAGTGCAGTTCAACTCCTGGAGAGTTGACCTCATTACATTAGCAAATGTAGCGTGTTTTAGGAACACTGATCCGTCCACTGCTACGGTAAACGGTACTTTCTCACGTTTCAGCCAGATAGCGTAGACACCTGGGTAATTTGTTTTTATTACGGGGTCAGTTTAACTTTAGAAGTGGAAAAAATTAATGCATAATATGCAAACATACAATTGTGGATAATGTAAGTAATATTGATGTCATGTAACATATTGTGTGAATGATGCAGTTTGTTAACAAGGATTTAATGAATACGGACAATAATTGTGATTTGTAAATATAATATACTACATATAACTTACCTGCTGCAGCAAGTTTAGCAGCCCTGTTACTAACAGCATTACAAACTTGTCGCACCACAGCAATATCTGCAGGACTCGCTTTAGGGAACACGGCACGACACTCCTCTTCAGAACTGGGCACATTGGACTGTTAAATACCAGGTTTCCTCTTAGATTGTAAAGGCAAAAACGTCGACAATACATGATGTATTTTGCTTAATAGTGATCGTAGATTTTTGCCCCAGCAATCCACTCAGGAGAGCGAAGGATGTAAAATAAAATACAAGGTTCGGAATTTCTGTCTGCTCAGTGTAAATAAGTTGGACTCATAGTCTTGGCACCAAGCCATTCGACTATTTAAACTGAACTGTTAAACTCACTTAATACAATCACTGACAGTTGATCCGTCGAGTGAGTCTTCCTTGTGAAGCATATCTGGGATATTCCCGGCGAAGATGCAGTTTTTATGTAGAGTTCGTTTCAGCAGTGCTAGTCTTGTCAGTTCCCCGAGATACATGCCACTAATCATCTTCTCATACCTGTAAGTGTGGGTCATCTTAGAGATAGGGAAAACATAGCTATATAGTTATATAATACATGCATATAATATATTATTATATAATATATATATATATACTCTAGAAGAAAGAAGCAACGGTTGTGATACTTACAGTTGCTTGCCAGCGTTAACACTGGAAGCATCAAGCTGTTTGTCGTAGTCTGTTTGTAGATCAGCAAGATGGCCCAGCTCACCAAAGTTTCCCCACTCCATGTTAATTACTACCTTATCAATTAGACAAGAGTTATTTATAAACTTATTTGTTTAGAGAAATTATATACATCAATCAAGTTCATTCCATTTAATGAAACAAGACAAAATTATTAAAACGGGTGAATATTGAATATTGTAACAGCTAACTGTAATTAACAGCTAATTAACAGCTAATTAACAGCTAATTAACAGCTAATTAACAGCTAATTGTAATTAACAGCTAATTAACAGCTAACTGTAATTAACAGCTAATTAACAGCTAATTAACAGCTAATTGTAATTAACAGCTAATTAACAGCTAATTAACAGCTAATTAACAGCTAATTAACAGCTAATTAACAGCTAATTAACAGCTAATTAACAGCTAATTAACAGCTAATTAACAGCTAATTAATAGCTAATTAACAGCTAATTAACAGCTAATTAACAGCTAATTAACAGCTAATTAACAGCTAATTAACAGCTAATTAACAGCTAATTAACAGCTAATTAACAGCTAATTAACAGCTAATTAACAGCTAATTAACAGCTAATTAACAGCTAATTAACAGCTAATTGTAACAGCTAATTAACAGCTAATTGTAACAGCTAATTAACAGCTAATTAACAGCTAATTAACAGCTAATTAACAGCTAATTAACAGCTAATTAACAGCTAATTAACAGCTAATTAACAGCTAATTAACAGCTAATTAACAGCTAATTAACAGCTAATTAACAGCTAATTAACAGCTAATTGTAACAGCTAACTTTAACTGACCAACCATCTCCTCAGAAGACTTGATATTCGGAACATTGGACACTTTCTCAGTGTAGGCAGCGTTAGTACCAGTTCCCAAAATCAATCCTGAATGACAGTTAGCGTATTTGGAACATCCAGACACTAGTGTTCCTGCAGTGTCGTTGGCTAAAGCTACAACCTTAACTTTCTTGGTGACCTGACAATATTGATATTATTGTAACATATAAATTGTTGATATTTTAGCCATTTCGGACACGTATTTTGTAGGTGTAGAAATATAGGTAAGGTTACGAAGACAGAGTGAGGGATTATGTAATAAGTACAAACCTCATTCTTAGCCAAAGCTTTGTTTAAAAGTTCTGCTACATTTTTATCCACCACGTCTGAGTTCGAAAAGCCTTTTGTCCATCGAACTAATGTACCATAGCACAATGAAGATTGTTGCATTGGGAAGGAAAAAGTAAACCCAAGAGGAATTTCGGTGTTTTCCAAACTTTCCTAGAGTAAGGAATTGTGATGAAATTTTTAAATATAACCAATAGCGTGTTAAGGTTAAGGTGGTAATGTTTAAAGAAGACCTACAGCTACATGTGTAAATGTAGGTACTGAATGTAGGTACTGACCTTCTTCATGAAGCTTGCCACACAATCTGCCAAGTGCTCAAAGAGTTCTTGCCCTCCCACAGTTTTCATTCTACTCTCCATGCAAACTGTCGTTGATTTTATAACAGGACTACTGTTTGGTATCAATTTCACAAGTATGACTCGAAAAGTTGACCCACCGAAATCTGCAGAGAATTATAGTTCAGCTGGCATTAATTTGGCAACTTACAAAAGTTGTAGGTCTCTCTTTAAAACTAGGCAGCTGGGTTGTTGAGATCATATTCAGACTATCGTGCTTTAAAAGGCTGAAAACCTTTCAGTGTTAGAATTATAGGTCTTGATTGTGATCTATAATCCATGTCAATGAATTATTACAATTGTCAAACTAAACTTCAATCATCTTAAAAAGCATATATTATGTTTGCTATTATAAATTGACCTTAGAGGAAGAAATGTGTACGCAGTGAGTAACTGTGGCGCCAAATTAATTTAAAGTTTAATTCAAAATATTAGATAAATATTAATAATGTGAATATACCCAATTCCTGATCGAACTGAAATATAAAACGCTTGGCTTTATAGATCGAAGGACGAAGGCAGCTGATCGACTTGATCTCACTGGACTCTAGTTCTACATGAACCGAAATAATTTTGATATCTGCACTTTTTGGCAAATTTAACATCGCTGGCTTTGCATGATTATGCAGCGCCGCACAGATTAATCCGAGCAGGTAATCGCCTTTTTGGGGGACTTCACACAGTCCTAACCAATCGATTCCTACATGACCCGTGTCAAGCAGAATATTTAATTCGGCTCTTGTTTTTTACTTCAAGGTCACGAAACTGAGCGAAAATGTTCAATCTAAAAGGAGGTGGCTAGCTCCCGAAACTTGAATTTTTGCCATCGATTTGGTCAAGATCTAGACGCTTTGCAGATTGTGCAAGGCTCAAATAGAGTACACCCTAGGGTTATCGACATACCTAATGCCAAAAAGTTTCCAGACTCGCTACCATTTGGCAAGGTATGTATATAGGTCGGAAGCATAAGCAGGCTTGATTGTTTCCCTGAAAGACCTTTTTCCATTTCTTGGTACATGTCATTGGCTAATTTCTCAAGCCTTGTCTTGTCAACATTGTCAAACTCAGACATCACCCTGTGATATTTGTTTAGTTATTGTCTTCGCAACAAATTCAGTTCCCAACACTATTTTATTTTTTATTTGAAAATTCAATTAATTATTATATTATATAATATATAAATCAAGCGTTACATTTCAGCCATGCAAAATTACAATGACATATTTTGATATACTTATTGATATATTATGGGACTGCAATATAAGTTGCTTAATGTGTGGTCGAATGACAACTAACTAAACAAGAAAAATAAATTGTATTATATAATAATTAGTTCGGCTGAACCAACACATAGCAAGAGGCACATTAACGTTGGGGCCGTCTACCAAATTTGCATGACAAACAATAACAAGAAATCAAACATATCATAAATAATTATAAGTATTTTGCTCTTTACAATTCTGTCACAACTGAGGACAAGAAAAATAGGGCCACCAAATTTTAAATGGGAAAATTTTGAAAAATGAAAAAGCCTTAGGCTTTTTGGTGAAGTCACTTACTTTCTAAGTGACTTCTAAAATTGCGAACTGAGATATGGCCAATTTTCTTCATTTTTAGTGGTCTTTTGGCCTTAGTTTCTACATTTCTATAAATATTAAGCTATATATCTCAGAGAATGTATAGTTTATGCTTACCTTTTATATAAAGTTGGTTTCATACAAAAATATTGATATTTTACCAATTTATGGGCCAAAAATTTTAGATTTTGGCCCAAATTTGGTGTGTATGCCCAAATATGAGCATATGGTTTTTGGCTCATAACTCAGTCATTTTTGTCCAATCTGGATGAAAATTCATATACGAGTTCAGCGGACCACTAGCTACACGTACCTGATCTTGAGGTGATGTACGACACCTCGTTAACTCAATCAATGTCTGGAAGGCTGCAAATTTTCACATGCCCAGCACCTATTTTTCTTAAGGAGTTGTGCAAGATGACGATGCATAGAGGCCGCAGAATTATGAGGACTACCAGATCCTGGTGGAACCTAAGTGATCCATGTTATCACGACAGGCCCTACATTTTGAGGTACAAACGCTTAACAATGCTGGCAGAGCAGCGAATAAGTGGTGACCTTATAGGAACTTTTAAAGTAACTTGTGGTATGACTGATTGTGGATCGGGTATGTCTTAATTTTGTTTCAAGCAACGGATGTAGTTCTTCTGGAGCGAGTTAATCCTCACTGGAACAAACTCCCTCCGAACTCTGTGACAGTTAAGTTTTAAGTTAAGCTTTAAAATTGAATTAGGAGGATTAAGAAAGATGTGATTTCTAAAAGTGTTGAATGTTTCGAATGAAGTATCAGTATTTGTTTTAAAGACCCGAGGGCCACCCTTAAGGGCTTTGAAACCGGTTTATTGAGTACAATATAATAGAAAAATAAACTGCAATCGTAACATTCAAGTCGATACTAACTGAAATAATATAATCTGTAGTTAAGGAAGAATTGAGGGAACCAATTATGTCAGTAATAACGGGAAACAAAATGAATATCTAAATATTTTTTCATCCTTGTGTGCATGTGGCAAATCTGTGAAGTATAAATAAGTAAGAAGTGTAAGCAGTAAGGACGTAAGGATAAAACCTGCACTCCTGTCATTCCACCATAACTTCTATCGTGTTTATGGACACAAAAGCTTGAGGTTCCCAGGTAAATTAACTATTCAATGAAACAAGAAATTTTTTCAATGAAACAAGAAATTTAATTTTTATCACATTTTACAGAATAAAGAGATGTAAAACAATTTATAAAAATATAATGCTCATTTGGTGTATGACTTTTTGTCCTTGACTGTTAGTTTGATTTTGAAGGGACAGGTAACTAACGGGGCAGGGAATGTGCGTGCCTGAAAGCTTTTGCACACACCAAAACGCTAGTTCAGTTGAGTTTTTAGAGACAGGGCTCATATGAGGATCAGAAGAAAATTTTTAGCATACGTTAGGGTTGATTCACGATGTCAATCCTTCGCATCTCGCCGATCTGCATACGTCTGTGGTTGCGAGAAGCATTATTTGATGCGCGCGCGACCCAGTAGTGCATCGCGCTACAAACGTTAGGGGTTCTGTTTGTGTTTGTTACTATGGGTTATAGTCTTGTTGTGACAGAAAGTCTACACTATATAATATAATATATATAATATGCCTAAGTTTAAATTGTGTAGTTTGAGGATATAAAATGCAACTTTAAAATGGATATTGGAGAGCTGGTGAAAAATTATGATCGTTGTATCAATGGTTATAATAAGCTATAAATATCTTAAACTATACATTAATTGACGATGTCAATTCATGGCAGCTCGGCGCGGCACAGTAGCGCATCTCGCTACAAGACCCGCCGCGCTTTACATAGCCATGTGTAAACGCGTACTGCTCTGAGAGAGGGCTCTGGTTAGAGCAAACCCGCCGCGCACGAGTGCGCGGCTCCCCCTGTATCGTAGAAACTCTATAGTGAAACGACAATATATAGGGGTCACGACGTGATACAAGTAAAAATTATTGTTTAGGTTGCTCTAACCAGAGCCCTCTCGCTTGCAGTATCGCGCGAGTTGCTCTATCCAGAGCCCTTGCGCTTGCGGTAGCGCGCGCCCGCCTCACGGCTTGACTTGTGAAACAAGCGCGCCCGCAGTGTGCAGTGGCGCGAAAGCACATGGTTAGGTGAATCGCGCGAGAGATATTCTACTTGTGAAACAAGCGGATCACGCAGTAGGATGATGATTAATCACTTTATACTACACTCGACTGTCACCTGACTTTTTCAACCCGTTCTCTATCTGGTCCGGTTCTGAACGACTTTTCGAAACCCTAACCCTCTAATCTGATCCCAACCCTAACCCTAACCCAATCCTTAAAAAACCATATGCTGAAACCCTAACCCTAACGGGAAATTAGAATTACTTCCTTATATACGGTCATATCACGTGATCGAGACAGTTTTTCGCCAATATCTCGTCAGGGGAGAATTTTAACCCTATGTCACGGGGGGGGGGGGGGGGGGGGGGGGTGATTATGAATCAGCGTCCAAAAATTCATAGATTGAAGTTGGTTACAACCGTCGGCCGGCCGGGGGCCTTTTTAAAACAATCTCGAAGATCGACTGTAGAGTGATTTGTGATTTAGCACGCTCGGTTCGTTATAAGCAATAGCATTAGCAGGTAATTGTAGCGCGATGCACCATGCACTGGGCCTAACCGAGCTGCGAAGGATTGACATCGTGAATCAAGTCAGGTTATAAATTATTTTCCCGAAAGTTTTTGGACTAGAATATTTTCAATCGAAAGATAGATTTAATTTAGAGTCTGGAGTCATTTGTCATTGCACATTTAATTGCAGTACCGTGACCGCAAAACTAGTTGTTATAGTGGGAGTAGTAGTGGGAACTGGGAGTAGTAGTGGGAGTAGTAGTGGGAGTAGTAGTGGGAGTAGTAGTGGGAGTAGTAGTAGTAGTAGTTGTAGGAGTAGTAGTAGTGGGAGTAGTAGTAGTAGTAGTTGTAGGAGTAGTAGTAGTGGGAGTAGTAGTAGTAGTAGTTGTAGGAGTAGTAGTAGTAGTAGTAGTAGTAGTAGGAGTAGTAGTGGGAGTAGTAGTAGTAGTAGTAGTAGGAGTAGTAGTGGGAGTAGTAGTAGTAGTAGTTGTAGGAGTAGTAGTAGTAGTAGTAGTAGTAGTAGGAGTAGTAGTGGGAGTAGTAGTAGTAGTAGTTGTAGGAGTAGTAGTAGTGGGAGTAGTAGTAGTAGTAGTTGTAGGAGTAGTAGTAGTAGTAGTAGTAGTAGTAGGAGTAGTAGTGGGAGTAGTAGTGGTAGTAGTAGTAGGAGTAGTAGTGGGAGTAGTAGTGGAAGTAGTAGTGGAGGTAGTAGTGGTAGTAGTAGTGGGAGTAGTAGTGGGAGTAGTAGTGGTAGTAGTAGTAGTAGTAGTAGTAGTAGTGGTAGTAGTAGTGGTAGTAGTAGTGGGAGTAGTAGTGGGAGTAGTAGTGGTAGTAGTAGTGGTAGTAGTAGTAGTAGTAGTAGTGGGAGTAGTAGTGGGAGTAGTAGTGGGAGTAGTAGTAGTAATAGTAGTGGGAGTAGTAGTGGGAGTAGTAGTGGGAGTAGTAGTGGGAGTAGTAGTGGGAGTAGTAGTGGTAGTAGTAGTAGGAGTAGTAGTGGGAGTAGTAGTGGAAGTAGTAGTGGAGGTAGTAGTGGTAGTAGTGGTAGTAGTAGTAGTAGTAGTAGTAGTGGGAGTAGTAGTGGGAGTAGTAGTGGGAGTAGTAGTAGGAGTAGTTGTAGGAGTAGTAGTGGTAGTAGTAGTAGTAGTACGTGGGAGCGTAAAATTTTTCTCTGCAGAATTTTCGATCGAATGATAGATCATAGATTTACTTTTAGACTTACAGTCATTGCGGTCCCGTAAAACTAATATCTTATTTATATTAATCATTTTATAAATTAAATAATGGTCTAAGTTTAATACTATTGAGATTATAAGATAAAACTAATTCCCGGTTTCTACAGTGTACAGAGTGACCACTTTCCACAATGCTGAATGCACATGCCGTTAATTTTTTTGTTGTCTCGAACCGAACGTCTTACTTGCATTAATTTTAAACTGTACTGTCCACCACCGTACTGTCCTCCACCGTACTGTCCTCCACCGTACTATCCACCACCGTACTATCCACCACCGTAGTGTCCACCACCGTACTGTCCACCGCCGTAGTATGAAAGCGTTCACATATGTCTATGACGTCAGCAATATTTTGGCAAATTTTACCCCTTACCCCCTCCCTCGTGTCAGCCAGCGAGGGTGTTTTGAAATCCTGAGGGGGTGTAGGCAGGGACCCTGGGATTTATGTTTGACTTATTTGAGCAGTTGGTCAACAGAGTTCAGTTTTTGCCAAAATGCAGGTATTTCTGCTGACGTCAGCTGGTCAGCAAGTCTCAGCCCCCCCCCCCCCCCCCCCCCCACGTTAGCAACCGTCGACATTTTCAAACCCCTCCCCTTCGACTGACGTCATATGTGAACGCTCCCTATGTACACCACGCACCGTACTGTACACCACCATACTGTCCATCGTCTTACCGACCTTTGCAACGTTGTCAGAGACGTCCACCGCCGCCGCAGCGAAATTTTGAAGCTTGACCGCGGTCTTTGAGGTATTGGCCGTCAGATCAACAAATACAGCTGTTATATATATTAATATATTAACGATGAATTAGTTCTTCAATGTAGAGTGATATTAAGAAATCGATTCATATACATCGTCATCAGTAACACAAATAAATTACCATAATGTACACAGTACACCTCACAGACCACGGTTTAGATGTATCATAGTCAGACCGTGGTCAGACTGCCGCCGCCGACCAATTATGGCGTCCAGACCGCCGCCGCCTAAAAATAACACGGTGCACATCTTTGCGCGTTGTGTGCTATAACCAGAACCTAACGTAGTAACGTGATTATAATTACACATCTTTAATTCAAATGAAATTCACATCTCTAAGCTCCCTGCAGTCCCAGCAGAGGAATGGTATCCCGAAGTTTGGTCCTACTAACCCTCCTTTTTGTTGTGTGTGTTAAAACTGAGCCTGACCCCGAAGCTTCCCCCAAAGACTGCTGCTCTACACCTGTGAGAGCTTCTAGAGGTAAACATTGTACTAAGCTATTTCATATTTAGACAAGACGTGTTCGTTAAGAGTTTTGTGTGGAATTTTAAATATTCATCTATATTTATAAAGACATATTTTAATTTATAAAGGCATATTCCATTAGTAGGAATAGGATCGCGTGATTGATGGCAAATTTTCCATGTAAGCATTAATAATGAATATCGACTATGTTATCGGCTATTGTGTAATTGTACTTGGTTTTGATTTACCTGGCAGGGCAGTCCTTGTGCGCGGCGCGCTCTTTTCAAGATTCCTGAACGTGAGAGGAGCGAGCAATAAACTAGCAATAACTCAATATATAATAAGCAAGCTAGGTAAGGTTTTGATCGGCACGAAAACAACCAAAGCACTCATCACGGTTTTAAACGTCCATCATTTTAATTTAGTCAAAAGTCAACCTTGCAAAAATGATCGTGATCCCAGGATCGTGATCCTAATCTCCGTTCCCAGGAAAGCAAGGCCGTCAAGGGTTCGAAGGACCACCAGGTCTCGTGGGATCAGTTGGCCCTCCTGGAAGACCAGGATTGCGGGGGAACGTCGGACCACCTGGTCTAAAAGGAACCAAGGGTCGTCTACGCGGCCTTAGTGGAATAAAGGGAGCCCGAGTAAGTTCCGGCTTATTTTTTTACTTTTAACTTGACAAACTGAAATCATCGTTCTTAATTTAATAAATATGCAGGACTTGAAAAGTAGCCTTACACTTAT